GTCTTTGCGTCTGTGCCGCAGAGTTCTCTGTGAGCTATGCCCCTGCTTCGCATTCCTCTGCCATCCAACCTCTGTCCAGCCTGGACTTTCCCACAGAACCCTAAACCCTGTGAATGAGAGTAGGCCTTTGTTTCAGGCATTTTTCATCCTGATCCCAGCAACTTCCCCGTGGTGGAATGCAACAGGAATGCCAGCGCCAGCTACCTGGCATTAGAGAGTCTTTGTGCGGAAATAGGAGAGGCAGAAGGAGAGAGCAGGTTAAAGGGGTTTTTGACAATGGATAGCTCACTCCTCAAGGTGCCCAGCCCATTTTACAGAGCGGGTGAACGGCAGAGCGTGGGTCAAATCTCTTAAGGATTGCAAGGTGCACCAAGGAGAAGTGGCATTGATTGCATGTAGGCCAGTTTCGCCGTTAGTTCTACTCCTCATCAGGTTTTTCTTCTACTGTACAAATCATTAACTGGAGCGCTGATGTAGCAACTGATTGGCATGCAAACACAAGCATAGCCTGGGTGCATGTCTGCAGCAGTTAACAGGTTGTTGTGGGCTTATCACTGAGAGCTGGAACATTGAGGCAGCGGTTGGCCTCAAGGTGCAATTCCGTTCATTCCTATATAGTGAGAGACCAGCGAAGGAGGATTCTTTAATTAGAGGGATGCCATGTGAAGAAGAGGATTCATTATGATCTGATAACTCTTTAGATAAGGTCTTCCCCCAGACAAGTCACAACAACAGTGAATTATCGCTTAATTGGAGTGATAATCAATTGTGGTTCTGCAGCCGCATAGCCAACATGAAAAACGTATCACATCATAAATAAAAAACTGGTGGGATGAGAAGAAAAGGGGCCACCGGTTTGGAGGTGCACAAACAAGGTGGTGAGCATGTCAGAGCAGGAGCTCGCTCAGACGCATCGCAGACGGTTAGCCGGGGCCCGCCAGTAAAGCCGTTTCACCTGTAACCTGAGCAGCAGCGTCTGAGATGACGGCTGATTAGTCTGCGGATCCTGAGTCTGATGATAAGGAGCGGAGATAAGGGCGCTAACTGAAGGGTAGCGACAGAGCTGTGAAGACAAGGGTGGGGCATCAAGGTCATATAACCACGCATGTCATGACTGCAATTACCACGGGGCCTCCGCTCACCTCCTGTGAGAACTAACATCTGTAACATACCGACAACCTCTCTGAGCTGGAAACCTCTGAGGATATCATTAGCCGCTAAATAGTAGCACCACTCGCTATAAAGAGTCAACCAATATAGATGAACCTCAACCTCAATTCAAGTCCGAACTAGACCAAATGTCAACCGCACGTTTTCTCTTCTTTTCCACTTTTAGTAGTATGACTGCTCGACATCCCCTTTTCCTAGAAAATCCAGCAGATGTTGTATTTATCATGCTCCGGCTGCCAAGAATCTCAGGGAGAACGATTTGAACATGTGAAGAGAGAGGCAAAAATCTGCGTTGACCAGACTCCCCCCTTCTCCCACCGCCAGAGAGGAAATTTTATGAACTCACAGGGGGGAAAAGATAAGGCCTCTTTCCTCGACATGATCGCTCATTCTACGAATTCCAGCGCAATCCCAGCGGCGCTTTCACAGGCAAGGCAGACGTGTGCGTTAACACCTAAAGCTTAGAACTTCCTCGCCACGTCCTAAACATGAGGTAAGAGCAGCGATTGTAAAACCAGACAGGTTGCAAATCAAACATGGATAAAAGACAAACCTTCCAATGATGTCTATAATTAGATTTCTACTTCTGGATTTGGGTCATTTGAAATATGCAGGGCTTTCCTTTTATGATGAAAAAATGTGGATACATTTTCAGTTATGTAATCCTTTATCTGATTTACCAATTTTTTTTTTTAACATGAGGGGAAAAATCCAAGTCATGCAGCAGACATTTGCCGTCTATTTCTTTTTGTATTTACAAAGCAGACTTCACCATGGTCACCAGGCCTGTAAGTTGGACAAGGCAAGTGCAAAAAAGAAAAATGTTCAACAACATCATTATGTAATCAAAGGATAGCTGTTGGAGCTAGCTTGCCATCTAAGAGTGGCAAAAGATCCTAAGATTTGCTCTTACTTAAGCTTAGAGTAGATAAGGGGCAGTCAGGACGGGGCTTGTTAAAGGGTCTCTGTTTAGACATTAAAAGGGGGGGAAAAGTCTTCCTGTGCACACTCATCTCATAGGGGAAGACCACAAACAAGAAGAGCCACCATTCACAATCTTTGTCCTGCACAAAAAAAAAGGGGAACCGTGTAGAGACACTGCATGAATTGGTTCCTTTTAAAGAAGTTATAAATAAAACTAGAACACGAAACCTGCAAATTGTGAATGACACAGACGGCGCCAACTCTGCTCTATAATGTGACAAATGGATAAAGTGTCATTGACAAGTCTGCCTACTGAGACTGATCATATAAACAGCACCTGCAGACACTTTGAAAAAGGCATTTAGATTCAGGCGAGACATCCCTAAAGTTTTGACCAAACAGGGTAAACTAGCTACAGAGATTGAGCCATTGAGAAGAAGATATCTTTTATTAAACCCTCAAGGGGAAGTTAAATTGACACTGTTGTTGAGACATGCTACACACACATAGGCTGAAATATTGTAAGCTAGAACAAAATGTAGTTTCCCCTTGCTATTATCTGAGCATTTTACATTGTTACTTCATCACTTTATGAGGCTTGACCCATTAAAGGCTTTATATGTGATTTTTTGATCCAGCAGATGTCGCCCTTGAGCACCAGCATGAAACCAAACAACTCACGCTGCATTGTTGTGTTAGCATGCTAATGCTAGCGATCTTTATTCTGCTGGTATCTTCACACTGCATGTAAATTTACCTGAAATGAGCGTGATCTAGAAACACAGTTAAGCAGTGAGTACAGTATGTTATTCTTCTTTTCTCTAGTCCCTCAGTTAAACAGCTTTTATACACGAGGGGAGGAGTCAACCGGCCGTCCGGGCGATGTAAACAAACTGAAGATAGGACTTTAAAAACTCTGAAAGCGTCACAGACAGTGGGACTCCGGTGTTACACCCATTGTAGACAGTCATGACTCACAGAGTTATTTTCAGAGGAAATATTTGATTTTCTATTTAAGTGGGAAAAATCACATAGAAAGACTTTAACAATGCAGAGGAAAACCTAGCTTAACTCCTGCTAAAGCTAACTAGCTTACCAGGAAAACTAGCATCTCAGTGTCTGACTCTTGTGGGGTCAAAACATTTCCCTGTGCCAAACAACAGACATCAATAAAGCACAACATTAATGCACATCAACCTTTGTATCCGTTATATTGTTGCCTTCATTACTTCTGTCTTTACTGCTCTCTGCCTTTTTATGGCGGTGCGGCAAAAAGGAAAGTGACTTAACAACTCTGACAAGTGATATGAAATGAAATTATAGGTGATCATCATCAAACAGACAGTGGGCTGGAACACTTGCTGGCTGTGCTGTCACTTTTAAAAGACACAAGCATTTATCTAAGCCTGTGAAATCCTCCATGCTAAAAAAAAAAGAGGGGGGGGGAATTTAAGAGTGCACTCTCAAATAGCCAAATTCCATTTTCTCCTCGACGCATCACAGTGGTGTGCTCACCTAGTAACTGGTAAACACACGTCAACAATGACTAAAAAAGCATTAGTGGATCTTGATTTATTCTCCAAAGAAAACAGTTTAAGTGTTGCCACACTGCAGATCCAGAGGAATATCATCCTGCTGCTGCCTATCGAGCCTTTCACACTGCATGTATTCCTCCAGTTTGTGGTTTTACTGATTTATTGTGTCAATCACTCACTGCTGGAGAAGTGATATACCCAAACAACACAGCATAAGGTGTCCTTGGCTGACCAGCTAACACCTGACTTTGATAAAGAACAGATTATGATCTGCCATAAAAGAGTAACCACATCTATGGTCCAGAGCTCGAACAATAGAGACAAAGACCTCCAGCATGTGCCACACGTGCTGGTCTGTGGGGTGTGCTACCTTTGTCACGTTTTTACATTGTTATTGTCTGTGATGCGTTCAATGTCAGGGTGGTGCTGGACAGACGGTCATCTTACTTCTGCTCCACACATGGCCATACAGTATGAATTATTGATTAAGCCCCAAAAAGAGGAGAATCGGTTGTGAACAATGAGGACAAGACGTCTGGTTACTGAGGATGTTTATACCAAATATGTCTTTACAAACACAAAGCGACATATGGTGGAAGAAAGTAGGTGTCGCAGCACGCACAATAGTGTACTTTAGAAGCCATTTTAAGGTCTTATTACTGATTTTTTTATTCAGACAGGACAGTGGATATGGCCGGAAATCAGTGAGAATGACATGCGGGGAATGGAGCCACAGGTTTAACTTGATCCTGGGCTGTCTGCGTGGAGGTCTATAGCCTCCATACATGGGGTGATACTTAACCGCTAGGCCATCATCGCCCTGAAGCCACTGTCTTTCAGGGCTATCGAAGCAATCTCCATGCTACAAATCTGACCTCAGGTCTCATACGAGCCAGCATGCAGCCTGAGATCTTGGGCAGAGGTCTTTAATGCGTTACTGAGACTCAGCTAAAAAAATAGCAGTGACAGAGCATTCAGTAAAAGCCCTGAAGCTCTTGAACATGCTGCCCAATCAGCAGTCATTGACTTCTTTTAAATACATTCTTAAAATTTACTTTTATTGGGAGCTTTTTCTGTATTCTCCTTCGTGTTTTACTTTAAGTTTTTCAATATTTCTGCAACTTCCTTCTTCTGCTTCACCACACCATGTATGAAGGGAAACTGTTAATTTTTTACTTCAATACATGAACCTGACAGAAAGAGTTTACAGCTCATTTCCTGAGAAGTAAATTAACACCAGCTATTCCAGCAACAAAGTGTGAACTCACCTGTGCCAAAGAGTGAACGCAAGTGTGCTCGGTTACAGAGAAGATGAGTTATCTGGAAAGGAATCACAGAATGTAAAGTAAAAGTGCTGAACATGCACACTGGTGTCTTTGTAAGTTATTATTTTATTGAAAGCTATATATTAGATTACTACAGCATCGGGCGATAAGGATTGTTTTACATAAATAGATAAACTTTTTCTTTTTTATTGTCTTTCCCAACAGTGACAGAAACTTTCCTTGGACAAAACTCAAACAATAAACACAACTTACATTAAAGACACATTTAAAGAACACAACACAAAGTACAGACATTAAAAGAGGACAGATCCTAAAAAAGGGGGTCTATTTGATTTTGACTTTGTAGCGTCTGCCTGATGGCAGTATCTGGAAGGAGTGCTGGAGGGGGTGAGAGGGGTCCTGTGTGATCAGGGGGGCTCTCCTGATCACAGAGCGGTCATACAGTTCAGCGACAGTAGATTGGGATGAACTGATTATTTTGCTGGCCTGGTTAACTATGCAGGAGATTTTGTGTTTTGTGTTTTGTGGTGAGGTACTAGGATGAGATATTAAAAGTGAGGATGGATTCAATAAGCGAGTTAAAATGTGTTTGCTGACATGAAGAGTCCTTCGTTTCCTCACCAGGTGGAGGCGCTGTTGTTTGAGTGTTGCCGTCTCAGCGAGCGCTTTAATTGAATAATCTTAACACTATTTGCGCCACAATAATGTTAGGGAGAATTATGCATGACTAACTTTAGAAATCACGCCAAGTAGACACGGATTGCAACATAGAGACCTACTTGATAAATAAGCGCTCACGGCAAAGGTTATGAATGCTATTTATCCAATCATATCTACGACTGACTCAAATCGAAACACATAAAGAGCACATCCAGGCCTGGTCTCTGGTCTGTATGTGGGAGGACGATCCCCCCTGTGCAGAAAGCTGCTTCGTGCTACATGGCAGCGAGATGACTAAGCATGAGGCCCGCCGCCTGTGGCACTGTGCAGACATGTTCCATTCTGTCAGTGCTCCGCAGCACATAGGCACCATTTCACACGGTCCCCCGACTCTTGGCCAAGCGGAGTGGGAACTTTAGAGGCTCTTTTGACAGCCAATACCAAGCTTTTATGCTCTCTGGCTGTGACTGCAAAATAGTTTCAAAAACAAGAACATACAAAACACTCACTGCCTTGAGTGTATAAATGTGGAGCTCATTTTTAATGCATCAAAAGAGAGTGAAAAAAAAAAAATCAAGTTTCGACTCCTTATGAGTTTTGCAGGTTGCAAGAAAATGCAGAACATAAAATTACAGTGAGATGCTGAAGGAGCTTTTTTTAGTGTTTCTTTGTTTGGAAGCATTGAGGAAATAAATTAATACATTGTTCCTCATTTGTGACTCATTTAGTTAAAAAAAAAACGTTGTCAGGATAACAAGCAGTGAGTCCAATAACAGGTATTTCCCCTTAAACAGTGAATTTCTAAGCTAAGCATTCTTCTCAAACCAACCCCCCAGTATGTTTGAGTGTGTTCACTGTGTGTGTGGTCCGAGAGGGGGAAAACCCATCGCTGGTTTGAGTCTTCAACGCCACCTTCTGGTGTTTGCTGGAAACTACTATGCTGAGTTACATTGTGATTTAGCTTCTTGAGGTCAGAAACAATTTACTATGAATTCATCTACAATGTACAAGTAACAATTAATTATTTCAGACAAATGAGCTTTTAAAATCCTATGCTTATTCTGTATTCCCATGTTCACCCTAAATTGCACTATGATCCCAGAATAATATTTCCCCCTTCTTAGCCGGAGAACTCCGCTTGTTGTGGCCTTTCTGCTTCCGAACATCTTCTGTACATTAACATGTATGCTGTCTGTCTGCAATAAAACAACAAAAAACAGCATTTAAACTGACATTACAAAAGTTGTACCATCAACAGTTTGCAGGTACAGTAAGTGATAAAGGAAAAACAAATAATAAACAGGAAGAAAAAGTGAAAACACATAACAAGTGTTGGGGGAAATATCTGCTGAGAGACAAGACAACATCTCAGACAGGATGGATTTCCTCTGTTTGAAGAGTTCAAAAGTTTGGAAGCCCCTCATGGCGAAAACACAGCCACCTTTAGTCTCTAATCATCACTGCGGAAAGACAATAAGGCTTTGTGTAAAAGATCTAAAGCCGTTTCCGCAAGTAGGAAGATAAAAGCTGCGTGATGTCAGCGGGAGTCAAGCGTATAAGGCTTTTAATGTTATTAATAAAAAGCTTACAATAAATAATATCCTAGGGCTGGTTCAAGAAAGGGGGTCAGAGTCACATGTTGGGTTTAATCCACATCATTTAAGGTGAAAGATAATTGTACAACTGAAACCAAATGCAGAAAGTTTTTTATTATGGAATAATTAAAGTATGAATGGATCTTTTTATTAAGCTATGAAATATTTAAATTTAGATAATATATTCACATATATCAAAGGAACAGTTGTGTTTTAGGAAGTACACTTCCTAAAAGAGGTCAAAGATTAAAGCAATGTAAAACCTTTCATCTAATGGGCTTAAAAGAATGTAAGTGCATTCCTCCTGATGTCGGTCTTTGTCTTAAAATACTTGGACTGCAATTTATCAATTTCTTTTGGTTAATAAGAGTTAAACTTTGTTGTAATTACCACTTCCTCATTGATACATAAAAAGTATCAAATCAAAATGTAAAAAGTGTGTGACCAAATGGGAGACAGAAGAAATGAAATAATCAGGTGAACCAGAACAGAGCCCTGAGGAACACCACAAATAAATTAAGCCACAGAACTCAGATTTTGCTTGCATACATTAGTTGAAGAATTACTTTGTTTAATCACTAAAATCATTTTGTATCCTTCTTGCGATTACAGATATAATGTGTTGAGTTTTAAAGGTGCTTATCACAAGCTAGGCTAACTAAAGGACTGTAGTCCTACCTGCCACACTCCCATTTTACCCTCTAGGGTTTCTCCCGTATTTCAAAGCTTTTTCATTTTGATTCATTTAATTGTCACAAGATCTCACACTTTTTTGAAACCTAAACGTTGACAGGAACAGGAGGTGGCTCCATGTGAAGAGTGTTATCTTGTCATCCCCAGCAAAGGAAGCAAATATCCATATCCAGGGAGCCAACACACAACAGAACAGACATAATGAAATAGATTGAGCGATTTACCTGTAACGTCCTCCATATGTCGTCTTTACTTCTTCCCAAGAAACCTGCAAGTTAGAATGCTAATTAGAATACAAAAAAACTTTCATAAAACCGAATGCACAATACAATACAATCATTGACGGCATGTTAAAGTATGCATGAGCTATTTTCCCTTTCTTTATTTTTCAAGGAGCAAACAATTAACAATGTTTTTATGATTTATAATGAAGCATTCAGTTTCCTAATAATTCTTTACCTATGGTCTCAAACAAGTACAGACCAGAAATAAAATGCATTAAAGTGAGACGGATTTTGTATAATCTGAAGTACCTGTTGTACGTGGCTGTCATCTGCATAGTACCATTGCTGGTTGAGCCGAACGTAGGCTGTATAGTGCCCGACATTACATACCCAGAGTGCACGACCACTGCATACAAAGCGTACCTGCAGTCATTCTGACAGAAAAAAAAAATAAACTTGTGGATTGAAAAAGATGAACTATTGTGATAACATTTGTTAAAAAAGGGAACTACATTTACCTGATTGAAATCTGAGGAAAACGCCTCTTTTAGAACCTCAGAGAGGTCAAAGGTTTCTGGAAATGTAACTCTGCCCTCAAGTTTCCGGACGGTACCGGCATAATTCCGAAATCTTTTCAGATTCACGCGCAAGATACGAGGCAGGGAGAGCAGTTTGACACCCTGAGAGAAAAAAACGGGTGTTTCAGTGTGTGTGTGTTCAAACTTTATAGGAAGCATATCAAACACACCTCACCTTTTTGGATGGAGTCTTTGTTTCACATTTATTACAGTAGCAGCAATCTCTGTTCCTCAGCTCCTGATGCTCGAAGAAAGAGGCCATGGAGCTTTCCTGAAAACGTGTGTTAGGAAGATTTAATTCAGGTACATTTGAAGTACTAGTTTGACAAGTTGGGTATATTTTGTTGTTGTTGTTTTCCTTAAGGGAGTTAGATAAGAACAACTTGACCCATCTAATTCCAGTTTGGTAAAACTAGTGGCAGCCAGTCAGCTAACCTGAGCATACAAACAGCTAGTCTGGCGTTGTCAAATCAGTAGCTCTGAAGCTTACCACAACCGCCCCAAACAAAAAAATAAAAAAATGAAAATGAAAACGCACCAGAGAATCGTGATCGTCCTTGAGGTGCAGCGGCAAGCTGAGCATGAAGCTGGTCTGAGTCTGGTCAGAGTTACACTCCAAACACTGCAGGTGCTCCTCCACAGAAATCCTGTACAGATTCTGGATTTCAAGAGCCTGGCAGAGAGACACAGATGAAGACAGAGCTTAATGAAGCACTTAAATATATCTTTAAAAGAAACTATATAAAAGAAGAAAAACCAACCAGAGCTCTGTTGTCCATCTGCTGTTGTATGAAGTTCAGGATGGAGAGGAAGACCTCGTCTGCATCATGCTGCACATGAACTGCAAAACAACATCAACAGAAGACTTTGTGTTAGGGCTGAAAATAAAATCTCAGATTCTTTCACACCACACTCAATTATTTATTTCAAATAGAGACAGCGCACGTTAATGAACATAAACAATTTACGATTTCTTCTTAAATAAAACACTGTGAACAAGAACGAAATTATTAATTTAATTGCCCTTCAAAGATTATTACAGTAACCTGAATTTATTTCTAGGAGTAAACTTGTCTTTAAAAGTGCAGTTTCAGGGGAGACCAAAAGTACAGATGAGACTTGGTGTCAGTTTTTCCATTTTTGAAAAACCAGATTTTCCACAAATACAATTTATTGCTTAAAATCGATTCATTGTCCAGCCCTACTTTGTGTAAAAAAAAACAAAAAAAAAAACAAAACAATTTCTCTTACGTCGGATGCAGTTTCTGTCAAGGCTGTGGAGGAAGTCAAGATGGGGGGCATGATGAGGGACGTCGCCCCTCATGGCTGAGAGGACTCTCTTCAGCTGCAGAGGGACGTTATGACCGTCTGCTTGAACACCAGATGATTCCCACCTTGGGATGAATATCAGATTGTCTTATATATGAGCATTACGTTCACATTGAAGATACCCCCAGACTTGATACCTGGATAGATTTCATGTAATGCTCGGCTCGTTTTCTTACTTGTCCAGGAGGTTCAATAGTTCCAAGGTGGCAGAGAGGGTCTGCAGTAAAGTGTTCACACAGCAGGACAGATGGTGGTTTCTGAGGCCTCTCATGCCTGTGACACACACCAACAGAGACTTTAAAATAACCTTAACATGGATAATATGTTATGCATGACGGGTGAACCACCAGGGGCCCACCTAGAGGCCCAGAAAGCAGTGGGCATATCTTTAAATGAAATGGGGGGTTAAAATGTAGAAATCCAGATGTGACTGGTTTGGGTACAATAGTCCATTTTGCAGCGCAGAACACCCATCTCACCTGTATATTTGATTAAAAGTAACAAATCAATCATGTTGTAAAAAAACAGAGCGAGAAAGACGTGTTTGGTTTATTGCTTTAAGCAGATGTTTATTTTACACAGATCTGAGGTCAGTGCTGCACACACGAGAGATTTATTGGCTGTGAAGAGAAAAATTATTGTGTCAAATGGAGTCAAAGAAAGTAGAAAAACCCCTGTTGAAACTACACATTATACTTGGTAAACGGCATTGTTTAAGGCTGAGGTAGTGCCAGTGGAGATCGGTGGTTGGACAGCAAGGGTTATTTTACAGATTGAGTTCAGATTCAGATTCTTTATCGTCACAAAAGGGGAACTGGTTTGAAAACATGTAGCCTACCAGGACAGCACAACACAACACAATATATAACATCATAAAACATCACAGGAAATCAGTCAAGAGCTCATAACAAAATAGAATCTTTACTAAATTTTGTAATTTGCAATATGGAGGTGTGAAAATGTGCAGCAACCTGGGGGCTAATTGCTGTTTCACATATTGATATATTGATAAATGAGACCTGCAGTATTTTAGTTTTATAATATGAAAATATAAACTCTGACTGTCAGTTCAATGTAAAGTAGTCAGGGATGGTTACTGTTTTCCTCAGGACATGTAGTTAAATAGAAGTACACACATGTATTTAAATCATAAAGTAAATAACATGGTCCTGAGTAAACGCTGATCCAGGATTGTTTTTTTTTAATGAAACACATCTTATTTTTTAAGAGACTGTCTGAATGTGGTCTACTCACTGAAGTGGACGGTCCTCGGACCATACCTGCAGGAGAACCAGGAAGACATCTTTGCAAGGTACTCCAGCACTCGGTCAATAAACAGCATGAAGGTCTGGAGACTGACAGCAGGTCAGAGAACTCAATCGATATGATTGATTTTAAAAGACTGAGGTGTGATCTAATCGAAACGCTCTCTCTGATCGCCTCGGAGTGAACATCCCCGTGATGTTACACTCTTGTGATGTTGACAATTTAAGGTTAAGTTTCGTTTTACACGTCAGGTCGGCAGCGTCGTTTCTCCGAGTCGGAATCGAAACTTAACCGAGCTGCGGGAGTCAGGAGCAACTTCGTGTGAATTTAAACAGCAACAGGAGTTTCGTAATGACCAGGAAACATTGCGCACCTGGACACTCATTACGTCACTATTTATGAGCGCTGACAGGCACGGAAGGAGGAGAGATCGCATTGTTGCACACTTCTGTCTGATTAATCGATGGTGTTGATCTCTCCACCATAGTCTCATACTAATGCTCTTACCAAGTTACGCCAGCAGAGGGTGCTACACGCAACTGCATGATGATTTATTCTAATAAAATAATGTATCTAATGAGTTTGAACTCTTTTAAACTGTTTTTTTATTTCATAGAAAATGTATAAAAATGTCTTTTTAACGTAGCTTAAGACTTTAATATGTCTTCTCTGACAACACTTTGAAAGCACCAGTATGTCTCTGCATGCGTCCTCGTCTGAAACATCCCTCTGGCAATAATCTGCTCCAAGGGGATTTGATACCTTGAATAATTTACTCATTTTAAGAGAGACGTTTACACATGACACACTTGATTTCGGCTTTATTCATGTGTAAAATGTTGCACATTCTTCCTTTAATAGTCTGTATTTTTTGTCTGGAGAAAAACACTTGTAGTGTAGGTAAATTCCTATGTATTTGTAGCCTGTTAACATTTGCTTACAAGCTAGGTAACACTACTACAATTCTACAATTCACTTAGCAGACGCTTTTATCCAAAGCGACGTACATCAGAGAGTAAGAACAACACAAGCAAGGATCTAGAAAAAAAGGAACAATGTGAGTAAGAGCAAACGATCAGCTTTGAGTCTGATTGGACACACAGGTGCTGACAGGAAGTGACCAGAGGCAAAGCACAACATTGAGGGCAGTTCTTGAGAGCTCTAATCAGTATAGAAATCATCTTATAAGTCGTCGTTATCAAACAAAAACCATCGTCATTACCATCATCATCATCAATAATATGGAGACCATCATCATTAAGTTAGTAGGTATTCATGGAAGAGCTGGGTCTTTAGCTTTTTCTTAAAGGTGCAGAGGGACTCTGCAGATCGAATGGAGTTTGGAAGTTCATTCCACCACCGGGGGGCGACAGAGGAGAAGAGTCTAGTCAGAGACTTAGGACCCTGTTGTGAAGGTTGGATCAGACGCCTTTCATTGGCAGAGCGTAGTGGCAAATAAAATAAAAAAAATAGCTTAGGCTTGACAAATGGCATCTATAACCAAAGTACTGCTTTAGTATTCATCCAGATAAATAAAAGTTTTAAACTCTGTACTACTAACTTTAGATATATTAACTACACACCTTCCCTCGAGCCCTGAAAGCCAAGAAAAGTGAAGTTAGGAGAACAGAAGAAGCAGAAAGTGACCGTTTGGTTAAACTCTGGTCGTTTATTAGCTGTCCACAAAAGCATGTCATGGAACCACAGAAAGTGTAGCACGAGTGTAACATTCCTGTTTGTTGTTATACTCCACCACATCCCTGCTTCTCACACCATGTATAATTTATATTTCATATATTTATATATATTTTGTACAATATACATGTTCTCATCAAAGGAAAAATCATAGCAAAAGTTCATCCCGCCCCTCTCCCCCCTTGTGGATTTGAGTGAAGATCCCATGCATGTTTCCACTGCATCTAGGAGAGATGTGGTTTATTACCAGGAACAAATATACGCAGGCAAAGAAATGCTCAGACAAAGTGATGGGAGAGTCGTGTGGAGACGGAGTACATTCTCAACAACATTAAACAAGGAGAGCCATGCGAACTGACACTCTACGGCTTTGACCCAGTTTCCAATCAAAGCACCGGCACGGGGGCAAGCTAACATTAAGACTAATATTAAAAAAAAAAAAAAAAAAACAGATTAAAGTCTTTTGGTTTATTTATACTCTAACACCATATTCAGCTGCTGTTAGGAACACAATAAGACTTTAATGAAGCTCACCGAGTTCAGATGCTTTCATGAGGCTACAGTAACACTGGCACAGTAAGTGCTTGACATCATTATGAACCTTTTCATCTCTATGGAGACGAAATGATTTGCATCTTGAAGTTACGTTTCTCCTTTAAATAGGACGTTTGAATTCAAACGAGGGCATGTATACGTAAAGGAACATATATGTTAACAAGGATTAGCCTTAATAAGTTAAAAGCTTTCAGGGTGTGACCTCAAGACTTGAAGTCAAATATATATTCTTTTAAAGTGAATGAAATACAGTTAAAAAGAAAACACACCATGGGATGCCACAAATATAGAAACTAGAGCCCGACCGATTTATGGGCCAGCCGATAATATCGGCCGATGTTGGCAAGTCAAGTGACTATCGGTATCGGCTAATTTGATCGCATTTCAGCCGATATTTGTTGATTTATTCACCAGTCAGATTCAGTTTCATTGTATTACACTATCAGTTCTCTTTCTGGCTGAAGAGTGATGATGCTTGTTGTAATCCATACAATTAGCTTTGCTGGTAAGAGTCGACTGTTGATTCACGTACTGTACATGCCAGTTGTGTTTAATAACTGCATTTGAGGGATCAACACAATATATGTGTATATCTATATCTATTTCTATTAATGAAGGATAGATCTAATTTATCAACCAATATATCGGTATCAAATGTTTATCAGTATCGGCCCAAAAAATGGCAAATCGGTCGGCCCTTATAGAAATAAAAAAGTATATTCATGGTTTTTCCGTCCCTTGTTTATGTTATCAGTCTTTAAATTCACGTTTATACTGTAGCTTCTTTCCCTGTGGCCTTTTTCCGTACTGTATGGAAATATTGCTTAATTTCAGACATTTAAAGCGTCTTTTTATATCCTCTTTTATACTTTTCTAAAACAAAATATTTGTGGAATGTAAAATAAAATATATATACTGCTATGTACTGTAAGAAAATAAAGTCGCAGGATAATATCTATATCTCATTTTCTGTAAACTATATAAACAGAAGTGTTAGCTTTATCTGTTTTACAGCTTTGTCTTTGTTTGGCCCGAACAAATGTTTCCATCATTTTGAAGTGCTACAATATTTAAGTCATAGATTTGTCTTTTACTTGAAGATACCGTCGGATTTAAGTCGAAACAACATCACAAAGTATGAGGAGACATTTGCATTGTAAGCGTCTTTTTGGAGACATCGCACAATTTATAAATATTTCCTTTGTTGCATCGTTACATTCATAAAATACACTGTGGGCTTTTTCACCTGAATTTAGACGTACGCTGAAACTGGCTATCTGTATTTTTTCCTTTTTTGGCTAGTATGCATCATTCAGAACAATGCGTCTGCTTTAGCATTTGGTCCTTTTACAACAGGTAAGTGTTATCTAATGCAACACCTGGTGGACAGGTCTGTAGGAAAAAAAGAAAAGAAGTGAAACAATAGGTTGAATTTCGAATATGCTTTTGCACTGAGGTAATTAAGAGATGTTTGTGTCCTGGCTTTCAGGAAATGAAACAATACATCTTTGTGCTTAAGCTGCAGGGGAGGCAGATCTCACACACCTGAGCCAAATCTCAAAACACCTGAGCCGATTTGCACAAAAATGATGTGAACAACACTCAGGCTGTGTCCCAAATCACTCACTCATTCACTACTCTCAGTATACTGTATGTTATATGTTGTGGACTATACAGTGCACTCATCCAACTCAATATTAAAGGTAAATAACGGCATGAATATCAGTGATAACTTCACAAAATAGTTAAAAAATAGTGAATAAATATTAAATTATGAATAAATGATTCATAAGATTTAACACCCAAACTATTTTCTGTGTTCCTACAGACTCTGGTCTCGTGTCTTTCATCATCATGAGGACAAACTTAAATTATTCAGCTGACCATCTTTTACTCTTTCTTAAAACAGCGTCTTGATTTCTGTAAAAAACTTTTTTCTCTCATTGTGTTCACGCTAGTTGCTCCCCTCGTCCGCCTGGGAGCAGTCGAGTCAAACTCCTATTTCTGCTTGCAAAAAAAAAATCTGTGAACCGCAATGCATGATGGGATATATTGCTTGGGTAATGACCATCGGTTGTATGGTTGTACACTACTTTTCCCAGTGCATTGTGGGATACAATGAGTGGACTATATGGGTATGATAATTCTCACTCAGAATTGGACACTAATACAAAATGTCATGTTCACTTCATGTGCACTAAAGTGAATAGTGAGTGATTTCAGAAACAGCCTCTGACTTGTTTAAAGTTTGATCTGCCGCCCCTACACCTCCCTCTTATTGCCTTATTTTGGATTGTCCACTTTATCCTTCTTTTTCTAAACTTCTCCTTGCATTTGTTTTGAATCTCTATTTGTGAACTTCACTCTTGGACATCTATCATCGGTCTTACTTAAAGGCTTTATATGTGATTTTTTTTGATCCAGCAGATGTCGCCCTTGAGCACCAGCAAAACCTCGCATTGTTGTGTTAGCATGCTAATGCTAGCGATCTTTATTATGCTGGTATCTTCACACTGCATGTAAATTTACCTGAAATGAGCGTGATCTAGAAACACAGTTAAGCAGTGAGTACAGTATGTTATTCTTCTTTTCTCTAGTCCCTCAGTTAAACAGCTTTTATACGAGGGGAGGAGTCAGCCGGCCGTCCGGGCGATGTAAACAAAGTGAAGATAGGACTCGGAAAAACTCTGAAAACATCACAGACAGTGGGACTCGGGTGTTACACCCATTGTAGACAGTCATGACTCACAGAGTTATTTTCAGAGGATATACTTGATTTCTACATTTAAGTGTGAAAAATCACATAGAAAGCCTTTAAAAGATATTTTTCTCATAATTTACTGAAGTGGTTTTTATATCAGGTGTTTGAGTCTTGACCCCCCTTTTGGCTTTAGTTTAAAGATGTTGTTGCTTTACATTTGAAATTTGATGACTGAAGAAAATTAACTGGGTTTGAAGTAACAGGATGAACTCTCTTTCATGCTTATGCTGCTTTCACATATTGAACTTTTCCTCAAACTATCTAACTTTGAAAAGTTTTACCCTTGTAGAAAGTTTGAATGTGAGTCAACCTCTAAACTATCTTTCAAATAATGAGTTATTGAGAACTTCTAAAAGGGGTTTTAAAATGGCTCTTGTAATCTACCCTGATCATTTGGAATGTCTCAGAAATCGACTGAAGGGGAAATCCTCTGACTGAACTTCGACTGGAACAATCGTCACCGTACTCAGCCCTACAGATCTACACAGACAGAACACCTACAGAGGAGAAGACAGAGGATTCAAACAAACAGGTTAAACATGCAACTTTTGCATAAACAAGACACAGAGCAGGGAAACAAACGGTTTCAGGGAGCACATTCAAATGAGACTGGTGTCATCAGCCGAGCGAGTGTGGGAGAATACTGTACATCAGATTACAAAAAAAAAAGAACGACCAGCAACGATGACTCTGAGGACGTATTTACACTTTGCTTTTTAAATATCCTTGAAAGAGAAAGTCCCTGCCAAATCCAAATCCATCTCCAAAAAAAAAAATCCCGCTCAGTCAGTTTTGCAGTGGATAGAAAGTTTTAATAAGCAGCGTTTTCCCCCTTACTTGAACTTTGAGAAAGTGGTCCGTGAAGTTAAGCTCTGCATAAAAAGCAAATATCAGGGCAGCTCAGTTGAGTAGGTGTCATGCAAAAAAAAAAAAAAAAAAAAAAAGTCAACAGTGTTTTCGTGGAGTTAATTTCCCAGTTGGACATCCGTGTTTTCAAGCATCTGTCAGCAACACAGTTCACTGAGTGGGCCGACTTTAGTTGAATCAGCGCTGCAGTGTCGGCCTCAGTGGAAGTTCCTGTGATCAGTTTGGCCTCTGCACACAGTTTAGATATAACACAGTGAAACGCGTCCAACAAACAAGAGACAGACGGACAGTAAAGAGGTTCAAACGAGTCCACCTAAAGTCCGTCTCCTGGGGTTGCTACTAGTCACTTTTTATTGTATGTATAGGAGGATTATATTTTGGCATTGTTAATCTTTGTCCATGAAGTGATGTTGAATGTAAACCAAAGTCTCATATCTTAAGACGATGAGAAAGCTGCTTTAATTGTGTTAAATTTCTACTCTACCTTTTTAAGCAAAAAGGTGTACAGAATGTATTTCATGCATTTCTCTTAGGCCTATATGAAATACCATAATCACTATCAGGTCTGAGGGACACTGCTGGGTCAAGTCAGTTATGTTTCTTTGTTTTTTTGACAGTTTTTTGTTGTTGTTGTTGTTGTTGTTGTTGTAGGGGTGTTCAGTTAGAAGTGGGAGCAATTAGGAGACAAGGCAAGAAAGTTCTCACTCTGACTTTGTCACGTATGCCAGATCTGACTCCCCCGGTGGGAGATTTAAAGGGAATCCCTGACGTAAAAAATCCAACAGCCCTTCTTCAGGGCCAGGACAGACGAGTGCTGCTGTAGTCGATTTGATCTAACGTCAAACTCAGGGGAGAAGCTCAAATACTTTATATAATGTTGTACTGCTTTATCCAGGTTGTATAGTAACAGCTAAGTCACATCAGCTAATATACGTATCAACTAAAACCTAGCACCTGGCAGCTGAGCCATAACAGCTAACCTAGCATGTCCTAGCTAGCAAACATGCTCGCTATATAACCTTGGATTTTTCACATTTCGGAATTAACCGCGCTAAAATTGCAATGTTAGCTAGGAAGTTGATGACTACTAATGTACTACTATATCGTCAGACGTCCAGAGAGGCTTTGAGTAATGTTTAAAGAAAGACAAAATATATGATAACCCATTAGCTACTGTGAGACAACAGCTAATGCTAGCCTTTTAACCCCTCCCTTAGATTTGTAGCCAACATTATGTTAGCTAGGGATTTATGCCTCATCTATTCTATCATGAAATGCTACTAGTGTTAGTAGTGCTAGCTAAGGAAAGTTATATCTAGTGAATGCCCTGAATGCTAATGATGTTTTTAGTTTTTTGGTTATCAAATATGATATTTGTTCTTGTAAATATGTCCACTTGTTCCTCAAGATTTTCACTGTTGTTTGTATTTTCAGTTGGATATCCAAATCCTGTGTGACTCCCAACAATGAACCAGAAGTGCGACATCATAAAAGCAACCGAGCTTCCCTCCCTGAGGATGACCTAAGAGTAAACGGGCCGTCGTGTTAATATGGTCTATAGGGGGCACCGGTCGTTGAAAATGGCGTTACATGGATGCTGTGTGCCTGGATTGAAGGGGCTTCTGCGAGACGATGTTGTCACACCACGGAGCCCTTAGAGGTGGAGAGGTGGATGGAGCGGATTCGCACGGCCAGATTTTTCTCCAGCTCGAGGAGGATGTCGGAGCAGATGCCGGGACTGGACGCGGGGCTCTCGGGCGGCGGGGCTTCGTATAGCAGCTGCTTGAAGCCGTCTAGTTCAATCAGCAGCACCATGTTCTTCAGGAAGTAGCCCTCGATGAAAGCGGTGAGCTCTGAGGCGCCGAGGAACTACACGGACAAAAGACGATGGGGAGAAAAGAGCAGAACGTTTTTGAAGAATGAGGGGAACCTTAGTTTTAAAAGTTTCATGTGACTACTGTATAACATCTTCCTAATTAGAAGAACTTCATCTCTAGCAAACCTTTCTTTGAAGAAAAATCAGGCAATCTTTCTCAACATATCAGCGTAGCTTTGCTTTAAGATACGTCCATTATCTTGTTATTGTAATAACTACATTACAATTTGACAACATTTCCAACTTTTCCGAAAAAATCAAAGAGTCTACAGTCAAGCTAGCAGCTCTGTGAGGTTGAACATAATCATTGCAGAGCTTTGAGTTAAATGCTAACAATGCTAAAGTGAGGATGTTTAGCAGACTGCTCACCATACTAGACTTAACAAGTTAGCTTTCTAAATATGCTTAAAGTTGCTAATTAGCAACAAACAAGAAGTTAGGAGGAGGCTTTTGGGAATGTCTGCAGTTTTTTTAATTATTGAAACATAAACCATAAACATAAAAGTTGAAAACAGAGTAAACAAACCAGAGTTGAAATATCCCATGATGGCAGTAAATTATCTTTCTACCCAATTATTTTTTTGTGGTAACTAAGTCTAAACCAAAGTGGTCGACTAGCCAGGAGAAAAAAGGGAACAGCCAAAACCGCCATCTGTCTGTCTATCATTATAAGGATATTTACATATAGTCATTATTTTCTCAAAATTAAATTTTTTTTGCTGCTTTTCTGTGTTTCGTTTTGTTTTCTCAAAGTTTCTCCCTGGTAATATCTTTGGGAATTGTTTGGTTAGCCACAAGCTAGCTGTTGCTAAGTTTTTATGTCTTCTCTTTAGGAATGAGCCGCTTGTGTACTTGTTTTTAAGATCTTTAAATTGAAAATTAGATGTGTGGCTGAAAATATAGATTAGAGAATTTAGAGGAAACCAAAACCTCAACGTTCAGTCTGTAAAGCCAAAATAATGTGTTAAAAGACTCTAAACCCCCAGTGGAGCCACGTCAGGCTGCAGTGAATCAGTCGGGTCGTAGCTACAAGCTAACACTTTCATATTTACAAGAAGTCATTTGGAACATTTTGAATGTTACAGCATTATATAATCACATCTTTATTAGGTATCAGAGTGTCATAGCCTTGCTTGTTTATCACCCGTGATAAGCTGCGTCTGAATGTAACCTGATTAAATGTCAGTTATCATCGTCTCACCTTGGCGTGTTTGTACAGATCCACGCAGGTCTCGGTGGTGATGTTCTTGGAGCAGATGATCTCACAGTGTCTCTGAAGGGCCTCTAGTTGGAAGAATTTGGCTGCAGACAGGAGCTGCGGGGAACAGTACAGCACACACAGAATGAGGATTAGAAATGCTAATAATACTAGCGCTGTCGCTCGGCGGGCTTTTGGTTAAGTCGGTCTTACCTCCATCACTTCAGTGTTGCGTATGTGCAAGGACTCGGTGCCTCCGCAGTACAGATACTGCATGACCAGCTGAAACACACACGAGAGTCCAGTCTATCACATTGATTCTATAATATATCCATAGAGTGGCTTTCACTACAACATGTTTCTAATTCAGTCTCTGTACATGTATTGCTCTCCTGAGATTTCCCCCCTCTTTTTTTGCCTGTTTAACGGTTTTTGGAGGATTGTTTTTCTACCAACAGACTTAAAGTTGAACAGATTATGAAGCCGTCTTCAGCTCTTTGGGGATTTTTCCACTTCAAAAACTCAATCTGTAATGTAGAACTGAATTCAGAGTCTGTTAGAGGCAACCATTCCTGGAACAAATTACCATCACATGTCAGGGGATTGTGAGAACTATTTAACCTTTAAAAGAAAAAAAACTCAAACACTGGTTAAAAACAAACCGGTTGTGTACTCGTAAATAATATCTGTCCTCCCCTTCTGGTGCCAGTTCCCAGTTTTTAAGGCTTTATTTAGAGACAGGAAAGTGGATAGAGTCAAATATCAGGGAGAGAGAGAGAGAGAGAGAGAGAGAGAGAGAGAGAGAGAGGGGAACGACATGAGGGTAGGGAAGCCCCAGGTCAGATTCAAACCCGGGCCGCCCACCTGAAGGACCACGGCCTTTCACACATGGGGCACGCTCACCAACCACCAGGCCACCCCTTAATGGTTTTATTTAGTGATGTTCAAATAATTTATCTTTTTTCTTTGTCTTTATGCTTTTGATCCTGTGTGAAGCTCTTTGAATCGCCTTGTTGCTGAAATGTGTTCTAGATATGAACTAGACCTAACTTCCATGAGCTCGGGTGGTTAGAGGGATACTCGAAGCGCTCCTGTTGCGCACCCTCTTTTAATCCATTAAATCAGTGTTTTTTGTCGGGTTATTAATGGAAAGCAAATGTGCTAGAAGAAAAAACTTACATGGAATATATTGTACTTGACGTGGCTTATCTCAATGCAGGTGTTCTCTGCTGCTGGTCGATTCTGTAGCAGTGACTTGAACCTGGAGGAAACAGAAGGCGTTGTGGGTAAATTGAAGCTGTATAAGAGAAAAAAAAAAAAAATTGGACCAGCTGAATTGCCTTTGTTACCTCTGTGAAGCTGTAAACAGCAAAACTTTATGTGCATAAAAGGGTTTCCCCTCAACCAGGAACGTGACGTCAGACATGTCTTTGTTGTTCAAGAAGTGAGGGTCTGAAAAGAAGAACGAAACAATAAGAACAGCTCGTCTAAACAACACATGCAGAAAACACTAAAGATGATGTAATCTTAAATTAGAGTGAGGGTCAACAATGTGTGATTCATATTCCAATACGGAGGCAGGTCAAACTCATGTCCTGTCCTTTGAGTTTTTAGTCTTTCCTCAAACATCACGATGAATTAATGATCCAATTTCATTTCTCCGCACAAACAAAACAACAAAGCATTTGTGATTTGATCCTGAACCTGCTGTTGATCAAACACTAGGTGGCAGCGCAGCACAGTCTCCCACTGTTTCACTGCCTCTTCCTGCTCCAGTGATGAGAACCATGAGACCAACGATCTGGAAAGGTCTGTGACTTTGTCTTGTGTTTTCTTGAAGTGATAACTGCACTGTTGATCTATTTGAATGTGTTTTTATCTCTTACAAGTTTTGATGATTTTCTGTTTTATTTCAGTCATTCTTGCTCTCTGATCTAAAGGCCTTTGCTCCTCTTTGCCTTTTATAAAGCTCTGAGTTTAAAAATGCTCTTTCAATAAATCTGCCTTGACTTCCTGCAGCTTCAAAAGGGGCTTCAAGTACCTGATCCGACTGATAAAACACACATCCTAACTTTCATGTGCATGCACTTTCTTCCTGCAAAACACCACAATGAATATTAGAGATGCAGTGATTAGGAACATCCTGGAAGGAACATGCAGATGTTTGAAATAACAATTTAGCCGATTGCAGATTCCTATAGCGATGTTTGTGTCATGACTCCCACAATGCCAACCTTTTCTTCTCATGTTTGACAATTAAAAACAAGTCAGAGTTTGCTCAACAGGTGACTTTATCTGCCCAATTAAAATCCTCTGCTCTTCTCTGAATCAGCAGTTAGGTGTTCTTGCCTGAAGCAAATTGATTTGTGCACAACAAATTCACATCAGCTCCTGACGTCGGTTCATGCCACATGATTTGCAGAGGAGAGGGCGGCTGGAGGAGAGCGGAGCAGTTTGTTTTGGTTTCATGTTGGTGCTCAAGGGCGACATCTACTGGATCAAAAACTTGCACACTCTTCCTTTAAAGCCATAATCGGACATTTTGATCAATATATTTTCTTTTTGCATTTTGAGACTCCACATGATGTAACACAAAAGCACTCAAAGCTCACTACAATCAGCTCATAAAGTCTGAGAATAAACAAGAGATTAAGAACCTATAGAGACCTCCTGGAGTGTAAATGTGAGGACAAAAATAAGTGTATATTTCTTGATTTAAGCACTAAATCCCCTCCTAAATGAACAGTCTCTCACCCTGCTGTCACCTCGTCGTCACCCGGCTTCACTTTATGCAGAAACACAGAGAAAAGGGAGGATCGCTCACTATTTTTAACTTCTTTACCTAAGCGTGAGGTCTGTTTCCTCTTGAGCTCTGTCAGCTTAGGGATGGGGAAGGGCCCATAGCACTGAGTGAAGATGACTGACAGCTGCTGGCTGATCACCTCGTTCTGCAAAACACACACACACACACACACACAGACACACATCAGGACGTAAAGTTTTTAAGGATTGAAGTTTCTTGACCTTTTTCTCCCCTCGTGATTTACACAATTTCATGCAAATGTATGATAATATGGTTTAGAGTGCATCTGAAAATATGCAAATGTGAGCGTTAATGTCATCCCACAAGCGTACAAGCCCAGGACAGTTTGTATTCCCAGAAATCCCAGCCTCACTTTTGTCACATGTTTTTCCTCTAACAAGCGTTTTGTTTACGAGCACATGAAAGGGAAGCGGCGCTGACCTTGCTGGCTCGGAGGATCTGGAACATGAGCGGCAGGCCGTGTGTGATGAGCTCCTCCGTGTACTCCTCCTCCTGGATGCAGCTGAAGTCTTTGAGCAGGCCTTGGATGAGCGGCCGGCGGTGCTGGACGAAGCAGGTACGCAGGGACTCGAGCCAGGTGTGCAGCGTCCAGGGAACGCCTGGGAACGACACCACACGGACAGTGAATACACGTGGAAAAACACAGTTCAATGTAGAGGCAGCTTTCTCCAAGGGCGACAGAACCGACCATGTTTCCATCACTGCACGGGGTGAGAGTGAGGCGGAGGGCGATTTGCACGGTGAAAGATGCATTGTGGGAAAGTTGGAGGACCAGGAGGGAATTTAAAGGGAGCACTTGGATGTAATTAAAAAATGCAATATCAAGAAATGTGAAAAAATATGACAATGTGACATTAACATGAATTAAAATGATGATCTGATTAATGCAGAAGATCGATGTCTCAGTAATTTCACCGTAATAGTCTTTGTTTCAGCAATCAAAGACAAAAATACACCTTTTCTTATAGTCATAAAAATCTGCATGACTTTAGGTTTGAGAGTCTTTGTCCCAAAAAAAAAACCAATATGTCATCTTGGGGAGGGGGGGGGCGCTGGATCACCTAGCGGTTTTGTTGTGCGCCCCATGTACCGTGACTGTTGTCCTTGATGCAACGTTTCCTGTCTCTCTTCAGCTATTTTATATCGAATTATGGCAAATATGCGGACACTGACGAATGTTATTTGAAGAAAAAGTTTCAGGAAATACACAAATGCTGCTGAGTATGATGAGAAGAGCAAAGCCTCTCTCACATCCGTCTGTTTAATACGATTACTAATGTGATACAGAAGATTTGGAGATGGTTAGCTTAGCTTAGCACAAAGACTGGAAACAGGGTAACAGTTTAGCCTGGATCATACTTCAGTAGCTTCCACACACACTACAAACACACACACACACACACACACACACACACATACACATAATAGCAACCTCCTGAGAGCAAGAACAAGAGCTCCTTAGTTTCTTGAATTCACCCTGAAACAGAAAGTGTGTGTGTGTGTGTGCGCTCCTAATGAGAACAGGATGAGGGGATGGTGAAACACATTGCAAACATACAAAGAAGAAAAACAAGCCCACAGCCCCCCCGGATGATACATTTTGGGCAGCACACGGACAGTCGAACAGGGTCGGCTCCTAATGCTCACACACTGTGACAGATGACGTAATCTGCATCACGCAAACCATCATGCGGACACCATGAATCGCCCTCCAGCCGGGCAAAATCAGCCTACCAGAAACTCTGAAGCTCACAAGTTAACACATTATTTTGTATTTATACCCACGATGTGAAGCTATAACTTGACAGATTTACACACTGTCTTTTGTGAGAATTAAACAAACAATACGTAAATATCACAGAGTAATTCTTTAAAGTCGCTCCAAGGTGGATTTTTTCTTCTACTGGTTCCCCCTGTTTCCAATCTTTACACTTGACTGCTGTTCTTTTATTCATCTCTTTGTATTTAACTCCTGGTTAGTAAAAGTGGCAGCCTCCGGTGTTTAAAAAATGAAGCTAATGTGGAAGTGCAAGAAACTGCAGTTCCTCAAGTGTCCACTAGAAGCTGGCTCCAAAAGACCTGGAAGTCCCATACACACCCCATATTAAAATTTCCATTTTGACAACAGAAATAAACATGTTTACAACCTCGTACAGAAAACGACTTTGGCCTAAATAGCGGATGTCTTTATCGGCACACATTCTACCGGGGCTGATTTTTTTTTCTTTAATGAAGGATATGAGTTTTGCATAATTAGGAGCGTGATCGATCTGACTGTAAGCGGCCACGTTGTAGCATTTTCTCAGGAGGCTTAAGCCTAAACTGCCCTATCAGAAACCAATGGGCGATGCCACTCAGGCTTCATCCTCAGGTTGTTTCTTTACAGTCTGTGGTGAAACTTGTCTCTACCTTCACTATGTCTTTGTTTTGTACCCGTTATTGTTACATCTCGTTTAAATGCTTACTTAATTTTAAAGGCTTCATATGTGATTTTTCACACTTAAATGTAGAAATCAAGTATATCCTCTGAAAATAACTCTGTGAGTCATGACTGTCTACAATGGGTGTAACACCCGAGTCCCACTGTCTGTGATGTTTTCCGAGTTTTCAGAGTCCTATCTTCAGTTTGTTTACATCGCCGGGCCAGCCGGCTGACTCCTCCCCTTGAGTATAAAAGTTGTTTAATTGAGGGACTAGAGAAAAGAAGAATAACATACTGTACTCACTGCTTAACTGTGTTTCTAGATCACGCTCACTTCAGGTAAATTTACATGCAGTGTGAAGATACCAGCATAATAAAGATCGCTAGCATTAGCATGCTAACACAACAATGCAGCGCGAGTTGTTTTGGTTTCAAGCTGGTGCTCAAGGGCGACATCTGCTGGATCAAAAAATCTCATATAAAGCCCTTAACTGAATTCTGCAACATTCACTTTTTTTTCTTCTACGTCTCAACACCTGTTGGTTTGATGTTTGCCTGGCAAACTGAGGGGCGTCCAAAACGGTCCGTGTGGTGGTCGCCTTTAAAGTTTGTTTTGTCATCTGAGAGTCAATTAATTCCAATCAACTTCCCGGTGGATCTTATGTCAAATGAAATGGATAATGCTGAGGTTAAAGATGATTGCCATATGCCACACACACACATATATATAAACTCCTGTGTCTGTCTCATGGCTGAATGAGCGGTAGTGATTTGTGAGCGTGTGTGTAGAGGACAGCACAGGACGGGACAGGACAGGCACAGCATGAGCACATCTCCAGGACAGCTGGAGGCACCACAGAGCGAGCGAGCGAGCGGCGTGTGTGTGCCAGTGAGGCATGCATTAGTAAATCTGACCTAAGCTGCGGATGTCTATGGTGATGTCCACATGGCCGTGCTCTGCGCTATGGTACATGGCCTCTCTCAGGGCCCTCAGTCTGGCCTTTCCTGTTCGCAGGGTCCCTCCTCCTCCGCCGCCGCCGTTGGCCTGCGGGACCAGCCTCTTCTCGCTCGGATCCGAACCCTCGGCGAGAATCTCCTCCAGGGACAGGACGTCCCCTTTTTCCTTCTCCGACTGCGCCAACAGCTTCCGGAACACATTCCTGGAGGGGGAGGGAGGTAGAACATGACTCGCTCAGACAAGAGGTTAAAGGAGAGTGTGAAGATGCAGTGACAGATTCTTTTAAGGTCAAGAAAAAGGAAATTAAGTGATTAGGGAAGGAGGAGGGGAAAAAACTGAAGAACCCCCCCCCCTCCCCCCCTCCACCTAGCACAGCCTGAGGTTGAATCGTAAGAGGAGAAGCTGTGAAGTGGATGATAACAGGCTGGGAAATGGTTTTAAATTAGGCAAACACGCACTGTGTTAACTCCACATTAAGCTCATGCAGCCCCTCCAGCTTTGATGGCACTCGAAATCTTCTCATGTACTAAATTAAGCATGATGTCTACTTTAAACATCCAGAACTGGTGTGTAGAGTCAGAAAACATCAAGCTGGATTTAAGCTGGAGTTTTTTTTTTTTTTTTTCATTCTGCAGATTCATGCAGCCGAGACTGACGTCCTCCCTTGAGAAGAAAGGACTCAAACACGCAGCGTGATCGCAGCCCGGAGGATGCATCAGAGAGCCATCTGCACCCGAGAGGAGGGGCAAAACACATCATCATTTCCTGATTCTCGGATTGTTTGATCACGGATGACAAGTCGGTGGGAGGGCTAACTGTTGTCACTTTGATTTTTTTAGCGAGTGAGCATTTTTGGCCGATAGTACGCAGAGAACAGACACCCGAGAATCGTCGACCTTCATGTGATTGTTGAACAACAAATTCTTCAACCGAGGGGCAAAATAAAAAAATAAAAAGCTGCAGTTTTTACAGCGTTTGCTCTTCGCGGGGTCGGGCTTCTCGCAAGATTTGTGGAGCCCGGGCTGCAGGGTTTGCTCTCATTCAGCCACAGCAGCTTCATTTAAGTCCTGCACTGATTTCGGGTGACAAGGCCTGGCTCGCAGTCAGCCCCTCAGTTCAGAGCCGTGTGCAGAACCCGGTCGCTGTGTTCACTGGGTCTCTGTGCTGTTGCAAAAACAAAGGACACCATTGTCTAATGCATTGTTTGTTTTGAAGAGTTGTGCTTCACAAAAAAAAGAAAGTGGGACCGAATCAACGATGCCCGTCTATCCTGCTGTCTGTTTTTGTGTCCCCTTTCCTTTGTTGCCGCAACTAAATGTCAAAGAGAACAAGGTTCAGGAGGGTGGGTAGAGCTATACAGGATCAGAATCAGGAGTCAGGTAACAAGGGGTGAGAAAGAGAGGCACTGGGAATGGATCTATTATCCACAGAGTGGTGGAGAGGGAATGGTGGATTTTAGATTTCAGGCTGGTAGAAGGGACAGAGAGGCTGAATCTGACTCTTATTTTTTATTACTTAAATCGTGCTGCTCTACTTTTGAAGGTCTCGATGTGCTTAAATCACCCCGCTGACTAGATGCATTAACTATGTATTAAAAAAGTGTAATAATATTTGTACATGCTGCAATCTCGTTCCCTAATCCGTCTTTTATTCATCACAATGCTTTGACTACTCGACGTTTCAAGAACAAGTGGGTTTTTATTTCCGACACGAGAGAGACTCTTTGTGTTTGAAATGTTGCAGAATGTCCCTGCAGATTAAAAAAAAGCAGAGACTCAAAGCAAAGATCTGTGCGACGGTAGTTTCATTCTGTTCAATTTTTCACTCAGGAACAGCGACAACTTTTTTCACCGCATCGCCTCACCACCAATCTCCACTGCAGCGTGAGGCGGCTCACGACGCGCTGCAGCAGCATGATCACCCCGCTGTAATTGATTGTCTTAATAATAATGCAAGCTTTGTTTTGTTGGCTTTGCTCCTCCGCTCCTCTTCCCTGACAGCTCTCGCTGCCCTGAATGTTAATGGAGTTTATCGCACTCAGCTGCAGGGAAATGATGTCAAACTGGAGCCGTAAATGGCCGCCGGAATAGACTGCAGCGCTTATCGTCGCCGGCTGTCTGACGGGGCGAGAGCGAGATTTCTGCCTCTCTTATACTGCAGGATTCTGTGGGTGGCAGATGGACTAGAGCAGAGTGTGTAAATGGATCAATACGGTGGTAATGGATACGTCTCAGGCTGGCTGGCACTTGTGTGTGTAACTGTGTGTGTAACTGTGTGTTACCTGTGGCCATGTGCTGCTGCCAGGCTGTAGGAGTTCATGTCTCCCAGCGGGGCCGAGGAGATGCCGTTTCGACACATGGTCCCGATCATGGGGTCGGCCCCTCGCTCCAGAAGCAAACTCACCAACTCAAAGTTTCCTGAAAAAACAGAAACGCATGAATAAAGGGTTAATGCACAAAATGATTCCTAACACTCAATACTCAAACTCAATGTGATATTTAATCTCCTCTGAGAACTCACTTATGGTTTGGCTTTCCTTAACTATACTTGTACATAATTGTTTAACAGTCGTGTTTTTTATCACTACATGGTTAGTTTGAACGGGCTGAATTTACGCCCCTCGATCAGCCTGATCGTGGTTTCTTATAGAGTGTACAACAAGGCAGAACGGCCGATCATGTCCCGATCAGCTGCTCCAAACCAGTCTGATGTTTTTTTATTTTTATTTTTTGCAGTTTTAGTTGTACGACTGCACACACTCACAGAGTGAGAGCAGAGCCATCAGCGTATCTCCCAGACTTCAGGGCTTTTCATCCTGATGATTATACCTATGCAAAAACTGATAGACACGGTCTGAAATCACCACGGCAACACCACCAAGCTGTATGATCTGTCTTCCCCTTCTGATCATGAAAGAAAAGGCAGGAACTATCTGCAGACCTCCAGCTGAGAAAGAATACTTTACAATGAAAGCTGCTGAGTTGTTAGTAAGGCCTTTATAAGGTAGAAGTAAAAAAAAGCATATTAAGATCATAATTCATGTAAAATAACTTCCTGACTTACTATCAATAAGCAGTAAAAAAGCGGTCAAACTCTAAGTTAGCTATATGTAGAGTAAGGTACTAATAAGAGCTTGATAATGACCAATAAGGAGACAGTATGCAGCTAATTAGCTAATTAGCAGCTAGTTAATGGTGAATATTGTGACCTTCATTTCAAGTTCTACCACAGTTTTTATTTATTACAGTTTAGTTCTACAGTGTGTGTGTGTGTGTGTGTGTGTGTGTGTGTGTGTGTGTGTGTGTGTGTGTGTGTGTGGGGGGGCATTGGCACAAAATGTGAAGGTCTAACATTAATTTTTAAAGAAGGCCTTGATGTTTTTCAAGAAGTCTGAGGTTTTGGGGAAGGCTACATAACTCTTCACAAAGCTGCTGAAGTGACTTCTACAAACAAAAATCACCAACAAGCATCGGCTCCACACGGCGACTTGACTTGAAATCTTTGGAGCTGCATTAGTGAAATGTGATCGTACGCTCCCTGCCAAAGCATTTCAACAGCATTAAGCCCAGTAGATTAAAGCAGATCTGAAACACCTCAAATACTAATCTGATACAGTCAAGACGCTGCTTATTAAAAACATTAATTGGAACGTAACCCGAGTCCCTTGATCCTCGTATTGCTCATTCTTAATTTTATACCCCTGTAAATTTTATGTGACAATAAAATGAAACAGGAGGGAGTCGGAAGAAAAAGAGCCCGAAGCTGCAAAAAAATAAAACTCTTTAATTCATTCCTACTCATTAAGGAAATTAGCTCTGGGATTGTGGTCTTAATTTCATCTACATTATTTATTATGTCAAGAGATCATTATCCAACGCTGTGCATATATATATATATATATGTGTGTGTGTGTCTAATAAGCACTTGTTACCGTGGTAACCTGGCTTCTTATTCCTTCCTAAGGTCACTCGTTGTACCATAAAATGTGACGACTGCATGTCTACCAACTGATTGCGTTTGAATTAAATTTTAATTTACATTTTGAAACAGCAGTGTAGTGTTTTTTTTTAAATCATTTTGAATACATATTTGATTTATTTAAAGCTCCTGTGAGGAGGTTTGAGCTGCTTTTAAAACAGACTCAAATAATAACTGAATCTTCTTTATGAGAGGAGACATTCAGCATGAAGATGTCGTCTTTCTTTGTGATTTTTTATTGCCTATAAACGCCTCCGCAGCAGGGTCGGTGTCACACAGAGATCATTTTTTGGGGGCTTTTATTCAACAGGGCAGTTATACAGAGACAGGAAGTCGGGGAAGACGTTTACCAGACAGTATCAGGATCGGGAATCGAACCTGCGACCGGTGTGACAAGGATTGTAGCCGAGCTTTATAGGGTTGTATGCCAGCTTGCCTTATTTTGGATTGTCCACTTTATCCTTCTTTTTCTAAACTTCTCCTTGCATTTGTTTTGAATCTCTATTTGTGAACTTCACTCTTGGACATCTATCATCGGTCTTACTTAAAGGCTTTATATGAGATTGTTTGATCCAGCAGATGTCGCCCTTGAGCACCGGCATGAAACCAAAACAACTCGCGCTGCATTGTTGTGTTAGCATGCTAATGCTAGCGATCTTTATTATGCTGGTATCTTCACACTGCATGTAAATTTACCTGAAATGAGCGTGATCTAGAAACACAGTTAAGCAGTGAGTACAGTATGTTATTCTTCTTTTCTCTAGTCCCTCAATTAAACAACTTTTATACACGAGGGGAGGAGTCAGCCGGCCGTCCGGGCGATGTAAACAAAGTGAAGATAGGACTCTGAAAACTCTGAAAACATCACAGACAGTGGGACTCGAGTGTTACACCCATTGTAGACAGTCATGACTCACAGAGTTATTTTCAGATATACTTGATTTATATTATATTTAAGTGTGAAAAACCACATAGAAAGACTTTAAAATACACAGACATTAAAGTGATATCAGTCATCTTATCTGACGCTTCATAAAAGTCAGGATTTTTCATTTCAGTTCACTTTTGGTCGGTTTGGTCAGCGAGAGAATTCATGTCAGGGTCGATCCAATAATGATTGATGTGAATTCCTGTGCAGGTTATTTTTTTCATAAAGCACAACTTTACCGCCACATGATGTTGAGAAGCAGCTTTCCTGACGCTCACACTGAAACTGAAAGTGATCAATTGATTATATATTTAAAAGCGGAGTGAGGATGCCTTCTGGTGAGCTCAAAACCAAACATCATATACGCTGTTTTTTTAAATTAAGAACCTTGGAGTTTGAATAAGCATGTCTCCTCGTCTCTGCAGCTGATTACCTGCGCAGCGGCCAGCTGAAGCGGGGTCTCTGTGTAGTTCTCGGCCCCATCCTGCAGGGCGCCCTCCACATTCGCTCTATTATCCAGCAACAACTGTGGCAGAGACGGAGGGAGGGAGGGAGGGAGGGAGGTGGGAGAAGGGGTAAAAACCAGGGGAGGGGAGGTGGGGGGGGTGGGGGAGAGAAGAAAACAAGCCAGGGAGAGACGTTGTGTTACACTCGGGCTTGGCAGGAGGAACAGTCTCTCCTGCTGGAAACCTACACCGCCTCAATTAGAGGTTGTCCTAGCTGTGGACACCAAACACACTCCTCGCTGCTCTTCCTCATTATGTTCTGACTGGGGGGGGGGGGGGGGGCTTATTGTTGGTGTACACTTGCCTGAGCTGAGATAAGAGGAATCAAAATAGTTTCTCCACCCCTCCCACACACACACACACACACACACACACACACACACACACACACACACACAAAAAAACTCTGATTGTGTTGGTGGAGATTAATTATTGAAAGATTCCTGAGGGCGACGTTGTTCATCAAGCTTCCAGCCAGTGTCAGCCAGTGTGCAATAACTACTGCAACACAATGAATCATATATTACAAACTAAAGCCTGAAATATGACATCCCTGAAGCTGAGTTTGAGCTCTGCGCTGTTTCGTTTGGCCTCTGGAAGATTCTCTCGTCTGCTGCTGCAGGGCTGTTCTTTAGATTCAGATATATATGTGAGGGGCTGAGTGACTCATCTAAACATGTGAAGATCATACATGAACCAAAAGAAACAAACTGAATCATGAGGGGTGGACACAGAGACATACAGCTGCCATGCCAGAAAAGACAAACATGTATTCATTTACTCTGAAAAGATATGATTCACACTATAACTAGATTTGACCCTGTTACTATTATTTCATACAAATCATAGAAATATAACTAATAGAAATGACATTTTAATGCCAGATGGTACCAGAGGTCTGCATATTTTGAATTATTGTATGATTTATCACTTATATTCCGACATAGAAATGTTGTATTTTTGTCATATTTCAAAATAAAAGGGTAAGTAGTCTTTTAAGTCCAAAAAAGGAAAAAAAAAAAGAAATTGCGCACAATATAATTATCCTGTTCCAAAGTTATCATCTTATTTGTGATGTTGTGTGCAAAAGATTATTCTTTTTTTTCTCACTTTTTGGGACTTAAAGGGACTTAAAGGGAACCGTAGAAATGTTTAATATTAATGAAATGATAAGTTCTCCTGTTACATTGTGAAAGGTTTCATGCTATAGAGATAGAAGTGGATGTAATATACAGTACCATACTGTATGTTAGGGAATGCAGCAACTTCACGTCTAGAGTCTAAACATCCACCATGTGAACGTAAAGAATATTAAATCTTAATGTGCAGAAATTTAAATAAATAAAATAAAATGTAAAATACAATATTTAAAGTTTTCTGATTACAGAGTGAAATATTTCATGTTTTATTGATCTCACACGTAATGTTAAATAAATAATATTTCTAGAACATTTTTTGAAGATATATTTTTCACAAGGAACAAGATGATTGATTTTACTTCATTGTCTATAGTTTTTTGTACACTTTTTCTAATTTTTCTAAGTTGTTACTGCAATTTATTGATTTGTTCTACTCTCTTATGTTTATAATTCTATTCTTTTTCTTTATACTTTGAGCTTGTTTGTAGAGCGGACTCTGGGACACAAAAACTCCAACGTATCTGTAATGTCCTGCACCTGGTCGAATGGAAATAAACCCTCTAATTAAGCTATTCTATTTGATTCTATTCTATTGGAATGAGTTTAAATGAAAAGTGTGATAACAGGATAAAAAGTATAATAAGAAGGTTCTCTTGTTAAAACATATTGTATGATGTAATAAGGTAAACATAATGACTGTCATGGTACAAACATCTTCCTGCAGTGTGAAAAACAAACATCTTGTTTTCACACGTCACAGCGTCACACAGATGTGTGTTGTTGTGGCACAGCAGCTGTTTGCCTCTGCATGTCACTGACATGAGGATCAAGAAGGAGAAATCAAAAATGACACATGGAGTTGTTATTACTATTATTATTATGATGGTGTACCATAATAATAATCATCATCATTAATCATATCCTCAGTTTTTTAGTACAAAAGGTTCAGGGCAAGGGCCACAGGTTAATGTTTACAGGTGAGAAACGTCACTACCTGCACGACAGGGACGTGTCCGTGTAACACGGCGAAAGTGAGAGGCGTCCCCTGGCGCGTTTCAGGATAAACTGAGGGGTGCTTGTTTACTGTGCTTGGCACCTGGGAAGTCATAGGTGAAGTTCAGGGAGAGAGATATATATATATATATATACAGCCATTAACATTCACAGCTCAGGACAGGGGGGAGGAGAGGGAGCAGCGAGAAGCAGTATGCAGGAGGAGGAGGAGGAGGAAGAGGAGGAGGAGGAGTGTAAGCAAAGTGAGGGCAGGACAGCAGAGGGAGATTTTCCTCTTTGACTTTGACAGAAAAATCTTGAGCAGCTTGAAATCTTAAAAACCTCTCGTTTCAATCCTCACGCTTTAACGTTGTGGAGTGTATCTACCTGGGCACGGCTCTCCCGGCCCACGCTCTGTGCTACCTATAGCGTCTTTTTAAATAGTGTTTCATTTCAAAAGGGGGGGGGGGAATGAAACCAGAGGGGAAACACAACATTTGGCAAAGACTACAAACACAGTCAAAACGGGGCGGTGCTGACTCATGAGCAAAATGAATACCGCCACACAAGCCTGATGTTGTTCTGTGATTTCTTAAGAGGCTTTATCTCTGCGTAAATTACAGAAAATGATTCCTAAATGTCGCCTGGAGGAGGGCCTCTTTTCCAACAGACGCTTAATGTAATGTCACATTTCATTAGAGCTTTGACGCTAAACAACAGTGGGACTGTTGTGGTTTTTTTGTGTTCGCAGTGATGAATTATTAATCGCTTTATAATATCAGGCAGTTTCAGATGGAGCACAAGGGCATTGAATATCGACACTACTGAGTTTCACTAAATGCTTCACATATAGTTTTATCAGCGGTGTGGAGCTTGTTATCTGTTTTCACCCAAATTACAAATCACAAAGTCATATTTTCTCCCTGCAGATCGTTTAAGTTTTATATGCTGAGGTTTGAGATTTCTCTCCACTTCTTAATTCAGAGGGAGTGATTGGAGATTCATTTGTGGTTTGTGCGGGGTCATTACCCGCACACCTTCCTCTGGACATCGTCACAAGAACTCTAATCTCCCCAGCTAAAGAACGTTTGGCTGTCAAATCAGGAATGAGGCTGGTAGGCGTCTTGTAGAAAATAGAAAACCTGTAAGGAGCTGTGAATACTAGAGACAGATTTATGTCTGTACCAGTCAAATAATCTGATTTAATGTGGAATAAATCAAGCTGTCAGGAGCTGTGGATAACATGAAAAAAAAAACATTTGTCTTCTCTTTCTCAATGAGCTCGGTCCAGAACTTCCCTTTGTTTTCCATCTTTTTGCTCTTTTTTTCTGGTGTCTTTTCTGTTTTTGTTTATCTATGATCAACTGTCTTTCTTGTCTTTTAAAAACCATACTTTCAATATTTTTCATTGTCCTGCATTTTGTCTTATTATTATCATAAAAAAAAAGTAAAAAAGAAGCTTTGTATAAACTTTTTTGGTGAATCATAGTGGGGGCGTGCCGACTAGATTTCATTGAGTAGAGCTGTAAAATCAGGAATGAGGCTGGTAGGAGGCGTCTTTTCTTTCTTTTTGGGCTTGTAACATCTTTAAAAAAAAGTCTAATCATGACTCAACAAAAAAAGCTAAAACTTGCTCTGAATCCTACAATGGCTGGGGGTTACAACCTCCTTTAAAATATGTATTGTTACAAACGTGTGAGTATAAGGGCGCCATCAGTTTGGGTTTTTATTCATGAAATGCTCCCATGGATCGTTTAAGGGAGAAGAAAGTAACAATCTATGTGGACCTTTGGGTTTGAAGACTTGTTCTATTTATCTTTATTGTCTTGGTGCGACAGATGAAACTCTAAAAACCTCAGCATTTAAAAACATCTACAGGGCCAGACTCAATTCTATCTTCTTAAAAACTATGTTTGCTGCATTTTGGGTGAACACGTTCTTTCAACTTTCATGAAACAGAATCAACTCCTGGATCATTACTTCAGCTGAGGCTTTGCTTCAGAGTCAAACACACCTTCACTTAACACAGGCGCTGAACCAATGGAGCGATCACAACAGTTAACGATGAGGTCAATAAGATGGAGGAGAGTCAATGGAGCGTTTATGTTTCTGAATAGACTCATCACCGACTCAATTTGAAGCTGCTAAACACAGACAGAACACAGAAACAGTCACAGATTGTTTTTTTTAACTGTAGGTTCAACTCGGTGGAGTTCATGCTGGATGCAGCGGTCTGCGGGAGCGAGTTACACTGAAGTGCACACACTGGTACATCGGGGAATGCATTATTGATGTGATGTAAAGCAAAAGCGGCTGCGTTTGGAGACTATCAGAGGATTATTATTCTGTATCCGTGTAGAGACAAACTATCGTTGTTACTATGCAAATGATGCTTGTTCGCTGCTTATCTGTGCACTTCATGTAATGAGCTGCCAGGAGAACAGAGGGCATGCCGACAGCAGGTGAGACGATGAAGACAGAGAGAGAGGGGAGGAAGAGAGCAACACAAATCGTTTTCACTGGTACACAACAACAACAACAACAACAACAACAACAACAACAACAAATGTAAATGAACAGTTTCAACAAAAACTAAAGCATGGAAATAATAAATGTGTAGATGCTGCTGCTGCTATAGTGCTGCTGGTTTTATCCTGAACACTGACCTCGCTGTTGATGTCGGCCCCGGCGTCGAGCAGCATCTGGACCATGGCCTCATCGCCGCGGACGCAGGCGTACATGAGCGGGGTCATCCCCTGAGGGAGTGATGGGGGAGGAAGGTTAGACACGATCATTGATTTCTGCAGTGAACTTTTCTGGAAGAGGAAAGTTGAGGAGGGACAGACGTGGGATATAAAATTACAGATTTCTCTTGTTGGAAATATTTGAGGTGATGTAAGTACTCAACAAAAAAAATATATAACATAGGCTTAGTTCATTTTTAGTTAATTTAGATATTTGAATGTAAACACAAGTCATACAATTCTACATATTACACCTTTAAAGGCTTTATATGCAATTTTTTGATAGCAGATGTCGCCTTGAGCACCAGCATGAAACCAAAACAACTTGCGCTGCATTGTTGTGTTAGCATGCTAATGCTAGTGATCTTTATTATGCTGGTATCTTCACACTGCATGTAAATTTACCTGAAATGAGCGTGATCTAGAAACACAGTTAAGCAGTGAGTACAGTATGTTATTCTTCTTTTCTCTAGTCCCTCAATTAAACAACTTTTATTCGCGAGGGGAGGAGTCAGCCGGCCGTCCGGGCGATGTAAACAAAGTGAAGATAGGACTCTGAAAACTGTGAAAACATCACAGACAGTGGGACTCGGGTGTTACACCCATTGTAGACAGTCATGACTCACAGAGTTATTTTCAGAGGATATATTTGATTTATGTTATATTTAAGAGTGAAAAATCACATAAGACTTTAATGTGCAGGTATCTTTCAAACGTTTAGCTTTCTTAGACGAGAGGAGAGGACTCCTTGAGCGAGGAAGTACGTCTGCTGTTTGTATTTGCATGAACAAATAATTCGATTGAAGTGCTGTCCTGTTCTTAATTTGTTGCTGTTGACTTTAACACCTAAACAAATGAAGTGTTCAGAAGTGCACTTGAGCATGTTGATTCATTATCAGCATGAAAAACTGTGCAGGCGGACTTCCTGTGCTCCTGACGCAGACTGTGAAAATGTGGATTTCAGTGCAATCAGCAAAACCCCTTCAGAGACCATTAGCAGCTTTATGAGGAGCTCGCCAGCAGCTGTGCTCGTTAGCTCTTATATAAGAAACCTACAAGAAATCATTTAGTCTGCAAGTCCCCTTTACATAAAAGTTCCTTAAATCACCACATTGTCGTGAAGAACCTCTGAAGTGCTGCCTGTGCATGTTGAGAGTTCTGCTTACTAAAGATAGCGCTCATAAATAATATGAATTCCCCTCCTTATCAATCAGAGATTTTAACAGTAGATTCCTGCAGGTTTCTACTTTCCGGGGTGAATCAACACGTTATTCAAAATAACCACTCGGAGTGTCAGCATAGGTGGGCTGTGAAACTTTACTTGGTATAGCACCATATGCACCGAGGGCTCTCTCTCGAGCGCGACACGCCCACACACATTATGCTCCGAGCTGTCGGCTGAAGTGTTAAAGCGAGAGAAATGTGACAAAAAAGCTTCATTGTGGTGAGTTTTCTCCACATTTCTCAGGCTGTTTTTTAAAAAGTGTTTCAGATGAAGCAGAATATAGCATTATACTTCATGAGATCCCTCTGTGGTGATCCCAATCTTCTTTCTAAAGCAGAGATATAAGGAGTGATAGACGATGCACCTTCATGATTATCATGATGATTATAAAGCCTCTCAGGCGTGATGACAGCATTTAGCTTTATTGTTTCTGTGGAACAGCTGGTGACCTGCACCCACTGTTTAGCCTGTTTTTTTTTTAAGATAGATTTTTGGGCATTTTTGTGTGTTTATATGAGAGATAGGACAGTGGATAGAGTTGGAAATCAGGAAGAAGAGAGATTAGGGAATGACATGCAGGAAAGGAGCCACAGGTCGGATTTGAACCCCCGCTTGGAGGACTACAGCCTCCACACATGGCGTGCACGCTCTAACCACTGCGCCACCAGCCTGTTTCTTTATAACTGAATAAAGGTCAGTATGCCATCACCTTGACATCCTGGTTTATTGTTTACAGGAGGAGCAAAAGAGGAAAAGTGTCGATCAATAGAAAACCTGTAAGGAGCTGTAAATACTGGAGACAGATTTATGTCTGTACCAGTCAAATAATCTGATTTAATGTGGAATAAATCAAGCTGTCAGGAGCTGTGGATAACATGAAAACAAGAAGAAGATTTGTCTTCTTTCTCAATGAGCTCGGTCCTGAACTTCCCTTTGTTTTCCATCTTTTCGCTCTTTTTTTTCTGGTGTCCTTTCTGTTTTTGTTTATCTATGATCAACTCTCTTCCTTGTCTTTGAAAACCGTACTTTCAATGTTTTTCATTGTCCTGCATTTGTCTTATTATAACACTTTGCACAATCGTTAAAAAACGATTTTTGGGTGAATCACAGTGGAGGCGTGCTGACTAGATTTCATTGAGCTTAACCAAGCACATCTTCCTGAAAAATCCGATATCGCTATTAGCTTCCACTTAGCAGCCCGAGGAATAACAGATATTTCTTTTGACTGTGAAAGGCAAACACCAATTGGTGTTCACACTTGGATATAATAATACTGAGATATCGATCCGATGCTCGGACTAAACCTTTTGAAAGGTCAAAGCAGGTACGTTCTGTAGTCAGTTTCAGGCAGAAATGAAATAACAGTTCCATTTCTTTGTCTTTTTCTAAACTTAAAGCTACAGGGAGGAGTGTTTAGCTGGTAATGAAACAGACTTTCTTGTAAATAAATCAAATTTTGAAGAAATCAACACGCTGCATGACTCATCGGGAGCAGCCTGCGCTCAGCGTGTGTGTGAACAGGACACACATGCCAGGTGATCTTTCACTATTCATTGTGTTTAAAAGTCTCCACTACTCCTGTGTAGGAGTGTGTAGTGAATGCTGCATACTGTACATGTGGGAGTGTGTGTGTGTGTGTGTGTGTGTGTGAAGCCTCGGACCTGCTCGCTCATGCTGTTGATGCCGTCGGGGCCCAGCAGGTTCACCGCCTGCTTCACCAAGTCCGTCCGTCCGCAGTTCAGCATCCTGAAGCCCAGATCCTGCAGGAACTTGGCCTCTGTGGACGCCGCGTCCAGTTTCCTGGTGGCGCAGAAACAATCCTCGGCTCTGCAGATGGAAAGCATTCCAGTGATTCAGTGGAAATAGATTCTGTGGGTTTACAACTCACTGCACATTTAAGAAAGCGGCTAATGTATGGCTGCATGTCCGTCAACTTGTGCACAATGTGACCAAGAGGGGTTAAAAATCTTGACAACTAGCACTTTTCTCTCTGCGTGCTTCTGTAACTTCTGCATTTCTTAAAGTAGCTTTTCTCCAGGTGAGGATTTTGCCATGACTCATGAAAACCCACATGTCTTCTGTAAAGCCTCTTAATCCAAGCTGCGAGCAGCTGTCACCGCTGACGCTTCTGCGGGGTCAAAGAGGAATTTCTTTTCCTTGACGTTTGTCCAAAGTTATGTGACAATTTTATCTGACACACGTGAGGAATTAATTGGCAATTCACAGCTCTCCGTTTTTTTTTTTTTCACGTATGATTTCTCTGCAAGTATATGAAACGCGATAAGACTCTTAACCCGCTGACACCCGACGGAAAATTACTGACTGAGCCGCTGGATGACAAGTATTGTGCACGGCTTTGTGACTGAGCTGGAGTGTTTGTGAAGGTGAGAGGAGAAAGAGGTAGAGAGGGGAGGGGGGGGAACAGGACTGAAGCATGCAGAGAGAAGATTTATCCCTGAGTCATGACTCCAACAGATCAGTTACTGCAGTCCATGAGAGAGGGACTTGATGAAGTTTTCCACAAAATCTCAGGAGAGAAACTTTTGATTTTGACTTAAAGAGTCTAGTGTTCAAAACTCGGAGGGAAAACTTAACTTTGACCTAAATGACAATGCAGCCATGCATATCCTTAACAGGTTTTGTTTCTATCATAGCATGATTAGAATGTTTGCATGGCAACATTTGCTAATTAGCATTAAACACACAAAGTAGAGTTGAGGCTAATGTCCGTATTTGTGGTTAGGGTTAAATGGGGTTAAATGATCCCTGAGAGCAACAAGATCCTGTGCAATAATTTGAAGGGAGATCCAGGAAATAGTTGTTTGAGCTACAGGGCTGTCCAACGTTTTTTTAATCTAAGCTTTCAGTTGTTGAAATTCCACTATTTTGCACCAGAACTGTTTTTGTTATGCTTTTATTTTGTATTAAGGGTACTGTACTTCCTGTTTGGATACAAGCACATGTCGGCTGTGCAAGTCCCGAATATTTTTAAAGATTCCGGTAGATCAAAGTTTATGTCTTTAACTTAACCACGGGTGCAGGATCTTGCTACAGAAAGTAAATGAAACTAGCGAAACGGCGAAAAAGTGAATTTCTTGACGTCACAAAGTGGATGCGACCAAATGACGGCGCTACTTGTCGCCTTCAATGTTTTTCATAAAATCATCTCCGGAGCCCCCTGCAGTAACACACATGGATGACATCACCCAGGCTTCGTCCTTTAATATTTAAAGTCTATGCTCATGACCTTGTTTTCGCCTGTTTTTAGGACACGCCCTCTGGGGTGAAGTCCCTCCCCTTTTGTCAGCTCATTTCAAAAATATGTGGGAGTGACCGGCCAGAGAAAGAACAGAAGCTGAAGACAACATTTGTTTCTTGTGACTGACGACCTTCTGTATTATTCTGATATATTGTCTTCAGTGGGTGAAGCGTCGGGGGATTGATTCAGATCTAATTTATCTATCTTGTTGCGGTTAAACTTTGCTATAATCCTCATATTCTTACTTGATCTGTCGAGGTTCACAGTCCACTCCGGGGAGCAGCAGCCTGGCCGCCTGCCTCACGTCATCGCTGTCGACAGAGAAGCTTCTCCGATGCTCTGTGTGGGCGACCGCCACCCGGATCCACTCCATCAGCGGAGGCAGTACCAGGAATGGCCTAAAGGGGGAGACAAAGGCACGTTTGCTTACCTAAAAATAAAACACATGAATTCAAAATGGGTTCAAATTAATTTGACTGGTACGAGACTACAAAGGGATTTCACAAAACAAAAACCAGTGAGTACTCCTGAAATGTCCCGTCTGCTTTGATCTGATAGGATGTGACATCTATATCAAGTTCAGGACAGGTTTGGTTATCTCATATGACATCTTGCAGTATTTTTGTCTTTTTTTTTCGTCACACTTCTCGCTGGTTCGAGTTTGAAGTGGCTCGGGAAAAAAAAAAAAAGATGATATTCCTACATTTAGCAGTATGGATTTAGCAACACTTAAATCAGAATGTGATGACAGTTTTGGGTTTGGGTTGTCAAGTGGATGTCAATCAAGTGTGAATAAAAGAGTCCTGATGATGGAGATGAGTTCAGCTCCTTGTATGTTCAACCTTAAGATGTTTGTTTACTTTCACTGTAGACAAACATCATGAGAAATACTTTAATTACAGAGGCTTTTATTAACATGACATAAGTAAAATCATGAAGCATATCCACTTAATTAGATATAAATGTAGATATAATATACACATTTGTCATGATTACTGTGATCTTTGTACATTTCTTTAGCTGAGACTATCACATACTTTTCATGCTCTGTGTCCGTATTCCCATATCAAATAAATCACCAAATATAGAGACTCTGATCCAACACACACAGCCACAAACTTTCTTATTAAAGACGGCCTCACAGATAAGTGAAAAGGAAGTTACATGAAATCAATATTCATCATTTATAACCCTGCGGTGGTCCAAAACAGAAAGAGATCTAGATGTCGCAACCTTCCTAAATATGGTTATTACCTTCTTTAATCAAAATCAGTAATGGGTCTCGCCTACCTGACAAGTTCATATTTCATCATTTATTTCCAGGACTGGTGTGTGTGTGTGTGTGTGTGTGTGTGTGTGTGTGTGTGTGTGTGTGTGTGTGTGTGTGTGTGTGTGTGTGTGTGTGTGTGTAGAGTCTAATCACCTCATCCCTCTCTTTCACATAACACATACAGACTTTTATATTCTCCTGTCTGCTGTTTCTCTTTCCAACCAGAGTGCAGCAGCAGCAAAAATCAGGTCAGTCATCCTTCAGATATTTAACCCCACCTTTACACCAATTCACCAGCAGAATGAGCGGACTATTTCAAAACTATTTCAAAATAAAATCTCAAACAGGTATGAATAAGAAACAATTGGACTAATATTTAAGTTCATTTCCTTTTGGTGTGCACAACAATTACAGTCGCTGGAAAGGAGATTCTTTGGGCTCCCTCTACAGGCGCTCTTGCAGATATTTCTAACAAACCAACCATTCGACCAATCACCACAGTCCAAGGAAAAAAATGATTTTAATTTAAAAAAACTACATTGAGTACATGGTCGTATTTATATCCCATAGCGTAGTCCATAGCCCCTCCATTGTCACCCTTCAGAAAGTCCTTTTCATTCAGAATAATTATCCTCTAGTGCTCATAGAAATTATCTTTTTCTATACTATCAGCTCGCCCTCAAAAAAGATAAATGGCAGAAAAACACTTTAGAATCTATTTCCATATGGTTGTAATAACGCATTCGACATTATGCTTTCTATAGAATCTCAAGTGGTCAGGCTTTTTTTTATTTTTTTATTTTTTTTACCACAAATGTACTTATTCTAAAAGAAGTATTCATTATTATCAAGTTAGTAGTGATTCTGAATCAGCAGATCTTACGTTGGATGATAATGAAATATGATGTATTTTCTCTGAAAAGCTACTAAAACCATGAAGCAGTCTCAGATGCGCATCATAACAACAAATAAAATGCAGGGAGATTCATGTTATAGTTAGTTTAATGATATTATGAATCCATCAGTAAAGGCCCCCATGGAGCTTTTCACCCTCCGAACCCTCTGGCAAATATAATCTCTCATTTCAAACAGAGAAACCATTTGGGAGTTTGCCATTTAAGCAGCTCCCAGGTCCTTCTGTAAATTTACTGTCAGTGCATTTTTAATTATGTCTTTAAGATATTGACAAACTGCATCTACATGTTGTATCAGTTTCCAGAGCGCTCCTCTTCTTTACACCTACAGTCTGACAAAAAAAATGTGAACTCTGTCAAGAGTTTCCAAGCTGTTTTGCACTTGGCTGACTAATGTGACAATTTAGAAACCCCCCTCTTTTACACACAGCAAGCTTCCTGTAAGACATATATACTGTTTAGGGTTTCAGAAAGACGGAGGCCCAGACTGGAATGAAAACACAGAGGGTAGTGTTAGCGATCAATCCAGCGTCAGACAGCAACTAAACCCAGCCGCTTCCACAGTACATATTCCTATTTGGGAGTAAACTTCTACTAAATATGTATCATAAACTGTAATCTAATGCAGTTCTGTTACTTTGTTGAATTTACCTATATTTTTTATATTTCTTACCGGGGGCGTGTCCTAATTTTTTTTGTCTGGGGCTCCCAAAAGCTAAGGTGTCCTTGAAGTAAGGTGAGCACACACAAAGCTTTAATTCACACATTTTGAATCCACTTTTTATGCCTACTTTAAAGCTTTAGTTTATGGGGTGGCCAATCTGATTTCAGGTGGGGCCCCAGCGCGTCCTTGGAGCCGCCCCTGCGTTCTTATGAACTCAAACATTTGGAGCCAATTTTCTTCTTTTCTCCAGTTAATTTGACATCGAGTAGATAATTAAAGCTCCGGTGTAGTTTGGCAATCGACTCCCCTTCAATAATTTTACTTGCACAGGCTTACCCGAAGCTTCACAAAACAATCCTTAAAAGATTATCTCATCTTGTGTAATCATATTCTGCCTTCCTCTCATCCTGCTGTGTTATCCAGGCCCTCTTTACTCGTCTTCAACCTTTCAAGCAGAATGCTAAGTAGAGAGTTTTCTTTCTCCAGGGACCCCGGAGCCTGCTGACATGTCACTCTGCATGACATTCCCATGGCTCCCCTTGAGTTGCCAGGATGGAGTTTTTATATCCTCTGAGTGGTGGAAAGACGCTGGGAAATCTGTCCATCCGTCCGTCTTTCCAAGTGAAGTCCCCCTGGTTGCCGTCAATCTCCTCGATGTCCGGGGAAGAGTCAGCGCTAACGGGCCAACGCAGCATCTTACAGGACCGCTGCTCGAGCGAAAAACTTGTGCAAGAAACTCTGTACTAACCTTTACAGCACTTGAGATTACTCTACCTTGTGAGTGCCCCTCACTTTCAGAGATGTGGGTTTAACGCTTTATGATTCTGTTTTTAAGTGTCAGTATTGACGGATGTTTCTGAAGATTTGATTTTAACATTTTGCAAACATTTCTCAGGGACAGAAATCATCTTTGCTGTTCGATTCAAAGCTTGGTGAGTGGATGTCTGCCTAGAACAACATATCACAGTTTAAGAGTAAACAACTGACAAAAATCAAAAGGCTCTCACAGACAATGAATAAGATTTAAGAGCGTCTACTCGTCTACATCATCAGTCCATTTGGGTTGGTGCCAATGAAAATGCTGCTATTCAATTTATCCTCGATGTGTCCCGATTCTTTGTGTGCAGTTAAGTGGTTTAAAAGAGTCCGGGGCAGGGGCTAACTCACGCTGTTTCAGGGGCCGGGGCAGGAAACATAAAAAGGGCACCAGCTGATGTTGTTTGGGCACCAACGGGCATTATGTTTTCTAGCATGTGTGGTAATGTTTAAATAAAAACTTCTCCAAGGGAAAATAACCTTCAGAGGGCCCTTCAATGCACTTTCCCCAGATTTTAAGGGATGTGGATAAGGTTTTCTGCATTGAAAAGGTCCAACTGTTTGTGTTTTATTGTGTTTTTCCAATGGAAAGGAACCTTTAAGGATATTTTCCCACACTGTGTGTTGAAAATACAAGCAGGAGAGGGGAGAGGTGTGTGTGCACAGGCAATGATATCATTATATTCAACACAGGACTATGTCTAAAAAAGTGTCCAAAATAAACCCTGGAATAGACTTTTGGTCCACATACACGATCCAAATTTACATATTTTTCTGCAAACTCATCCTGGGTTGGATGAGAGTGAAAGTCACTTTTATTCAGGACTCACCTCTCGGTCTGTAAGCTGACTTTAGAGGGCTCAACGTTGGGGTTCTCCCACTCCATCTGTGGGCAGTGCATGAAGTAACACAGGGTGTAAAGGGCCTCGGGCTCCCAGTGGACCGTGGTGGTGGTCTTCTGGTGGACTGGAGTCCCATTGCTTGGGTTTTTGATGTGCAGCGGCTGCAGGTGGTGCATGGCCCGGGCCACCAAATCACCTGGAGAGGAGATATTTGTATTTTAACACATTTGCGATTTGACACAGATATAAGAAGCGTTGGAATAAAACATGACACAAATAAGAGATAAGACAAAAAACACGGTGTAGTACAGCGAGGGAAGAAAAAAGTCCTACGCATTACTCCCAGTGCACAAATTCATTTTTCTGCACCACTCCTTTGACATGTTAGTACGAGCAGCACTTCTGGTAGAAAGTAGAGCCTCACTCCCTCTGATTCATCGCTCATTTAGTCACACACATATGCCCACACAATCCTTGCAGAGTGGGAAATCGCTGCCTTGAAATTAAATCTTACGCACGCCGAGTACTCTGTCAGGAAACCACTTAGGAATCTGAGTTCTTGTTCTATCCTCAACTCCTCTTTGGCTTTTATTTTTCTCTTATTTTTGTTATCTTAGTGTCCTTATATAATCATAGAGAGAATGATAGGAGACTACAAATTACTGGTCAGTGTGCATGTGTGTGTGTACAAAGTGTATGAACCTGCAAAAGCTTTTTGAAGTCTGTAAACTCACAGTTTGGACGGAGCGATGCATTTAATCAAAGTGTCATCAAAGGATGATTGTACAGTCAGGACATCACTCATCTTTTTGTTGCTTGGGCTTTTATTTCTAGTTAAGTGAAAAGTGAAAACACCAAAATTGTCAGTGCTGTAAAACAGTGAATCTTGCTGCAAAACTGCAAACACAGATTTCTGGTTTGGATTTGTTGGATGACGAAAGAGTCGGTGTGTCTCAGCCCTACATGTATGTTTATTGGCTTTACTTACTCTTTGTATTACTGGAAAGAGACAAGGACTCAGTCTCCAGAGAAGGAATGCAATGTCCTCTTATGTAACACAATTTTGTGTGTATTTTCGCTCAAACATTTCAGTGTATTCACAAATGAGAAAATCAAGTCATATCTTCCCCAGGATCCTGCAGACTGAAAACCTCTCCACTCAATGGTTCCTTAGAAAGAACGACACAATCCCAGAGATGAAGCAAACCTGTATTCAAGGCCACACTCTCTCATATCCGTGTGATAAATGTTGTCCAATGCTTTTAGTACAAACGAAGTTCAAACTGTGACTGAACGCAGCAGGAGCAGAGAAGAAATGAAAGTCAGAACAAACATCAGAATTCATATATCTTTGAAGAGAGGAGGTTTGAATTTAAACTGTCACATTTTGTACCTGTGTGCCACAGAAAAAGATATTCAGAGCTGACATTTTAGAGTCGTAATTCTCGGATTCGGGCTTTTGGCAGCTTCACTGCAGCTCGTCGATGGAGTCATTAGAGATGCATTTAAGAATAACGATGATGCTCTGAGAGGAAACAGTGCAGTGTGAGCCTGCAGGGCCCATTTCTCTCAAAAATGAAATATCCCCATTGATCTAATTATTTACTTGGTTTACTGGAACGCTGGAAGTTTTAGGCTTAAAGGAGATTTGGACTGAGTTAAGACAGAAAAGAAATGCTGCCTGAGAGTCTTGAGTTAATGCATTTTTTTCCTGGATACTTTCTAAAGAAGTGAATAAATCATAATGTGTGAAAGTGAAGCTCGACGGTAAACACGCCGCAGCTCAACACACACTTCTTGTTTGATCCTGTTTTGATTGTTTGATCCAAAAATACCCGGTGTGAGGAAAGCTGGCCCATCTCGAAAAACCTCACCTCCTTCTACAGAATGACACGGTATGTGTGTGTGTGTGTGTGTGTGTGTGTGCGCGCCCAAGGTTCTCCATCTGTCAGACTGAAGGCCCCTGACAGAGTTCACAGGAAGCCAGACATAAACAGAGACGGCGCTCACAGCTCAGTTTGCACTGCGGCTCCTGGGAGACTCATAATCAGTTATCAAAAAAACAGATGAAATGCATCCAAAGACAACAGAAAACACGGTAAATTAGGACCTGTAGCTATGATTTTGTTTTTTAAATCAGAATCAGAATCGGGTTTTATTGCCAACTACATTTACACATACAAGGAATTTGACTTGGTGTATTGGTGCTAAACAATTAACAAGGAAATAAAGCAGAACTAGCGACAACTTAAATAATACAGAATAAGAAGCTATTTCAATATATAAAATAGAGTTAAAAATGTAAAATATTAAAAAAAACACATAAAATGTGCAATGTAGGAGGAGAGTGTAGTGGACTATGAGAAAAAAAAAATCTTACAGTGTATGTAACCTACTAAAGATGACCTACCTGATAAGTCTCCATTCTCCAGGTATGAAATCATAGACAACATGATTAGGTACAGTTTCTTAGAGTAAGTGATCACATGCAGCAGGGGGCAGCTCATTCAGATGCTCGGTCTGGTGATTTTAAGCTTGACAGTAGTTCAACCTGTAGGCACTTTGGTTGGGAACCAGATGATAGCTGGCTCAAGTCCCAGTATGGACCGAAATATTAAAATTGGACTGGTTATGGGAGAGGTGCCAGCTCACATTCCAGGCACCACGCCCTTGAACAAGGCACCAACCCCCTACAACTGCTCGGGTGCTCTTACATGTGCAGCCTCTCACTGACACCTCCCCAGTATTGCATGACCACAGGATCCTGTTTGTGCATGTGTGTGTATTCCTGGCCTATGTGTGTGTTGCATGTTTGCAAAAAACAAAGTGAAAAAATTGTTTAAAAAAAATGAAGTAAGTAAGTTTTCATTGTCAGAATCAACTGGTTTAGTTGAGTTCTCTGTTAAATATTAGTGTGAACGTTGTGCTTTTAACATCTAACCGGACTAAAAAAGCATCCTGAGATGTTTTATTTGGACTCATGGGACATGCATTCACTGCTTTGTGAAAATAAATAAATTATTTCGACAATCAATACTTGCAGCTCTTCAGATGTAATATGACTAATCATGCTCTGCAGCGTGCAGACTGTTTACTATGCAGGTTCGGTCGTCATACTTGAAACCTTAATCAGGTGGATGCATTCTGCATTCAGCGGCGAAGACGTTTTTTAACTCCAGGTACTTAGGAAATCCCCATGCTACTCAGTGTGTTTACGCAGTGGGCTAGTGGCCTGAATATTAAGAGAAATATGACACATTGGGATAGGCACGGAGGTAAAACTTAAGAGGAGTGAAACATGCATCCCAAACCGTCGGCTCAGTGTGAAACAATCTATGCAAAACCATAAAAAACAGACAACAGGGATCCACCAACTCCCAGAACTGTCGACGCTCCCTGCAGGTTCTCAGAGCTGTATCACCACAACACATCCATAAATAATACACCACATCTAGTTCTGAACCACAAAAAACATTAGAGGAAGCCACAAAATAAAACACAGCTGTCCCTCTGAGCTCTGAGCTGATCATCCAGCTTTCTTCACCTTCATTAATTGTTCTTTTGACTTTGCTTCTTTTTTTTTTTTTTTTTTTAAAGCAGGACAACATTCGCTCCTGTCTCCCCCTTTCCTCTAATTATCCAAGCAACACTCCTATGGGCTTCATGCTTCACCTCATTTGAATTAATCACAGGGGACAGCTTAGTGTCTCCCTCTCTCTCAGCCAAGACTTCCCCTCTTGGAAAGACTCATTACAGAGTAAAACTTTGTTCCCTATTCCCAGAGAGAGAGAGAGAGAGAGAGAGAGAGAAACAGCAGAGTAAAAACTTGCTGCTATAATGAGATGTCAACACTTTTCCATTCTGTCAAACAGCAGCTACATTACAATCTCTGCGCCAGCACACAACCAATGCACGAGAAACAATTTAAGGCTAGTGTAGTTTAATGTTTCCGTGGAGCTAATCATTTTTATGTGACAAGTTATTAAAGAAAAAAGTTACTCTGTTCACCTCTGACTCCATTGAAACTAAAAAACAAAAAAGACTTGAGCCTACAGGCATTAAAGCACAACGATGCTCAGAGCTAAAAGTGTCTGCTAACAGGGCAACATGCTTACAGGGTGAGTGTTAATATGTGATGTTTAGTAGGTTTAATTACCCCCATGTTTCACTCACACTTTTCATTTTAGCGTGATAGCATGCTAAGGTTGGCTAATGAGCACTTTAAGCAAACACAGCGAAGCTCGCGTCAGCTTGAGTCATGCACAAACGGAGATTTTGATGAGTTGATGCAGCTTAATGGATTGTCAAGGCATCACCAAAATAATCAAAAAAACATCCTCTGGGGAACTTAAATGTGTCTGCCAAATACCATAGCAACACAACCAATGTTTAAAAAAAGAAAGAAAAAGAACTAAAAAGACAACATGTCAACCAGAGAACACAGGAGTCTGCGGGGTTCCTCCTCTGATGAGCATGAACATCTGGAAAAAAATACTGTGGCATCCATCAAAAAGTTATTTATATACTTAACTCAAAGCCACAATATCAGCCTGATGATGGCAGTACAGGTTAAGTAGTTTCATTGTGGGGATCCACATATTGAGTAGGATTTATCCCCTCTGGACCACAGACGTCTTTAAATGTTCTATTTATACTCTACTGCCTTCAAATTGCCTTATTTTTTGTATATTTTGTATATTTGTATAGGCCTATATTATCATTGTTTTTATTATTATCATTATTTGGCTGTTTAATTTGAATATTTTATTGTTGGCATTAATTGTGGACAGCAAAGAAAAAATGTTTTTGTACAGGGAAACATGTTTCCTACTGTGCACATGACAATAAACATTTTGAATCTTGAATCTTGACCTTAAATTTAATTAAATTTCATGGTGATCCATGTCAGCTTTTGGTGGTACTTCAGGTTTAGTCATGGGCTCACAGCACAGTTATCCTCTGGGGACTATGAACATACATTTAAAAGAAAAGCTGTAAATCATCCCCTCTTCTACTGAAATCTTTAGTGGACACATTGAAACAGACTATCAAGACATTAAGAGGTCATTTTCTACACAGTTCTCATCTCCTTCAGCTTGCTTCACTTTTAAATCAATACTCATGAACTTTTGCAAGTTTGGATTTTGATGTTTGATGCAGCTAATCATTCAAAAAGTCATGACAGTTACATTCCTT